TGATTAGTCGCTTACTAGACTGCAGCGGTGTAACATGAGGTACATGAAGTGTTATTTTCCTATAGAATGTTAGGTAGAATGTAAATATAACGTTGTTTTCATGCAGGAGATCGATCAGAAGAACAAACACTACGGAGAAGGGTATGATAGAATCTATAGGCGGCAATAGTCTTGATGATGCCAGCTTCTCATTTTATATGGACTCGCCGCACACGGTTAACGCCAGTCAGTGGCCGCCACACGCTTAGTGGCCAGTCCATATAAAATGTATGAAAACTACAGGAAATATGCTGGTGGCGGCGTTTTGTGGTTGTGGCCGGTGGCCTGTGTGCGGCGACACTAACCAATTCCAAATAAGCATCATTAAGGGAGGTGTTTATCTTTAAGAGAAGCTTAGCGGAATGTTCACTCGAATTCGAGCCATGATGTTTTTTTACAGGTATTGTTCTATCCATTTCTATTTCTACATGCTTACCTTACTGATCTAAAAAACAACCATATCCAGAGCATTGAAAACCAAGTTAGTAACACCGGCAACGCCAAAAGACAACATCTTATTCTATTTTTTCAGTAAAGTCAGTCCAATTATCCGCGTTTTCGCAAAATCCGTGGGGTTCTCGCGAAAATTTGATTGATCAAATCATCCTACGACATCTACTTATAAAAGAGATGCCTACAGAATCGACAACTAAAAGAACTACTATCTTTACGAAGGTAGAAAGGCAGAAGTAAATAAAAAAAACACACAGATGGCAACAAAATGGAGCAAACCCAAAAATAATCTGCAGTCGGGATGTTTGTGCCAAATTTAAATCCCTAAAAAGCAGCCGCAATAATCGCATAAAAGGAAATGCTATCTTTTTTTCAAATAAAAAAAAAACAGAAAGACTTAAATCAATAAACAAAACAAAGAGGGGATTAAATTTCCACGCGACAAACAATTGAGGGATTAAAATTTAATGACGTTTACATCGCTTTAGGCAGGCTAGAACTTGTTAATTTTAAACGTTACATTTCTGAAAGACAAAGTGATGACAAAAGCAAAGTTTTATTAGTACTTAGGTTTCTATTATAAAAAAACCCTAATCTTTATTAGTACTGTCTTCGTCAACACTCGCCGCCTTCCCGTAGCAACGAAGATCACTGGATCATATAATCATCACATCATAATTATCATTCTTCCTTTAATATTGTAAGTAAGTGGTGATATCTCGAATAACTTCAAATTTTAATAATGTCTCCTGAAAACTTTATTAAAGATAAGGATTTTAGCAAGTTTACCTGTTCGTTTGAAGTCAAGTGACTATTAAATGATATTCTCAAAAATTTCAGTGACAAAAACTGAAAATAGTAGAAACAACAATGATGAAACAAAACAATGTTAGTTTTTTCTTTTTTTTTAGAATGAAAAAATGTTGACTTGCAAAGAAGGAAATCTACGATAAAATACAACAAACCTTATAGAGAAGTTGCGTCTATAAGCGTTGTTCATCCGCAAGAAAACATAACATAATTATCTTATTTATAACATTCTAAGAGAAGTTATAAGGATTCCCAATCTGATAAAAATGTCAGGTAATATATTTATTATTTTAAACTTTCATGGTCACTAACATTATAGTTATATAAGTTATTTACTGGATTGTTACCATGTTCCTTTTTTTAGCGAGTGTCCGATATTTCGGCACTGTTGCAAGCGCCATGATGATCTTGGCGCTTGCAACAGTACCGAAATATCGGAAACTCGCTAAAAACAAGGTACATGGTAACAATCCCGTAAATAACTTATATTACTATAAATGTCAGGTAGGTACGTACTATAATACAAGATTCGTTATGTTTACATGGTTAATAACTTTGGATAACAACCTTTATGTTCAAAAGAAATTATATCAATAATGTATGTAAACTAGACCTACAAATAAGAACGTAAATAACATACTATTTCTTTTTATTAGTGTAAGTAAATACCAACCGTCGCATTAATGTGATATTGTTTCGTTAATTTTCTCACACAACTCACAATGGTTGCGCGGGCGCAGGCTACTCTCGCTAGGCGCCCGCATCGCTCACCCTTCGATTCCTGTCGATGCTATAACTTCGAGCACCTTTGTTTTTTAAACTCAAAGATACGCAGCAAATAAATGGAGGCCAGCTGCGTTACACATTAAATGTCTTTTTAAACATTGTAGAGTCTAGGCAGGTCCTCGAATCGAAGTTGTGTAAAATACCCTAGAACCACATGCATCAACATTCTGACAGAAAATTATGACTTCTATTATTCAAACTATACATCAAATCATCTTTATAGAAAGAGAGAGAATCAGGCTTAGGCCCGTATTAGTAGATCGCTACTCCTACTCTACTCTGAGAGCGATCTTGAGTACGATCCTGGAATGCTGTTTTGTAAGGAAACAGTATCTCAAGATTGTGCTCAAGCTGATAATACAGTGCCTTAAACATGATCAGTTTTTGAATTCGATGGAATAACTTTGATGCAAGTGACTCTAAATATATTTATTAGACGGACAAAATTTTAGATTTCCCTCACATACAGTACAGAAATTCATCTTTCAAAGCTCTGTACCGGAGCCAGTGCCGTCTTTGACCTATTGGAGGCCCTGGGCATATTAGGATAATGGGGCCCCTATGACCCCCGTTTGGTGATCTAACAAGAACTAGGGACTTTGCACTGATGTTCAGCTTCGTTGTCTAATGATAATCTAAGTTTGGAATAGGGAAACTACGGCCCGCGGGCCATCTTCGGCCCTGAGTTAAATGATTCGAATTCGGCCCGCGATCTACAAACAAAACTTAAAGGTTTTCACCATAAAATAAATTAAAAAAAAATCTAACACTCACACCAATTAGCCTAGCCTTAAAGCTAGCACCGTAGGCTTGTGTTATGGGACACTAGGGAAACGGATAGAATACATATTTTGCTACATATACAAGTATATTTATATAGAAAATACATATTAAAACATCAATGACTGGAGTACAAATGCTCGTATTAATCACAGAAACATCTGCCCCCACCAGGATTCGAAACCGGGACCTCTCGAGTTGGCGACCATGAAACCCGGCGTACATACCACTCAGCCACGGAGGTTACCAAAATACCATTTTATCACATGTTCCGACAAGGACCACCCCGCCGGCGAACTTGGAACCTACCTATCTACATCGCAACAAACTCAGGGGCGTATTTATCCTGCTGCTGAGCTGCAGGGGCATTCGTACCAGCTATATTTTGATTCTTTTTTTTTTCCTCGATGGCTTCGCACAACTTGTGCATTTAGCCAATGTCAAGTGTTAAAAATGTTTACAAATTCTATAGCACTCGTGGTCAAAGTATTATATCAAGTCAAAGTAAGTGGCAGTTAAGTCAATCCCCTTTTGTGTTTCAGCAAATGTGTGGGGATTTACTGGAACCTCCCCGTCGACTTCTTGAGGGAACGTCGAAAGACACTTTCCGCTATTTTGTTTCACTTGCCAACACTTGTGCATGTTCCTGAACACTTAGTGGTTAATAGTCCACCATTATTAGACACTAATATCCGCCACAACACAATTTTTAACAAGAAAAACAAAACTGCTAAAGTGACGCTTTCCGATCCCGCCAAAAAGTCTATTTTGATTCTATTTAATTTACAAATTCTAGGGGGTTCAAGTCGTAAGAGACCTGCACCCCTAGCACGAACCATTATCGAATTCGAATAGTTTGCAAACAGAAGAAATGTCAATGTCAAATTTTGTATGGAAACTTGAACAGCAGCGGCACAAAGTACGTAACGAGAACTAAAAATCAAACCCCTAGCACGAACCAATATCGAATTCGTATCATTTGCGAGTGTGAAATATCATTGTCAAATGTGCACTGATTTTTAGTTCTCGTTACGTACTTTGTGCCGCCGCTGTTCAAGTTTCCATACAAAATTTGACATTGACATTTCGGTTTGCAAACTATTCGAATTCGATCATGGTTCGTGCTAGGGGTAAAGTACACATTTGACATTGACATTTCGGACTCGCAAACGTTACGAATTCGATATTGGTTCGTGCTAAGGGTACTGAGCACAAAAATATTCTGATAGTAAATTTTGGCATGATAAGAAAAAGTTTTCCCATCGCTCATCGTCATTATCATCATCAGTCTATTAATGTCCCCACTGCTGGGGCACAAGCCTTCCCAATGGTTGGAATAGGGAGTTCGGGCCATGACCCACCACGCGGGCCCAGTGCGGATTGGTGGGTGCTGACGACTGCAGATGCAGCCGGGAACAACGGCTTAACGTGCCCTCCGAAGCACGGAGGAGCTCGAGCTAGTGAATGTTTAGTCACCCATCCAATGACCGACCACTGCGAAAGTTGCTTAACTTCAACGATCGCAGTCGAACGCGTTAACCACTTGCGCCATCGAGCTCCTCAGTCGAGCTCCTCGAGTTCTTCTATTAGAGAAAGAAATCTACTATGTCCTAGCATGCATGTTTTTTTCGCTCCTAGCCTGGCATTGGTACTAGTCCCTTTTCTTACTAAACAAAAAGCAGACTACTGAATTACGAGTGATCGGAAACGATTTTTAGCATGACTTTACTCGGTACCAAATACGAGTAACTTACCCGTATCTCAAGTTATTATTAAGTAAGAGTAAGCCTTTGTTTCTTTGCGTTCAACTACACAAAAGCTCGTACTATCTGTAGTAATCTGTACATATGATACATACTCAGTGAACTGTACGCAATATCGATTTCTACACTCTCCACTTTAAACAATGCATCGCTGAAATTTCCCAACAGAGAATTTCGCGAAAAACAATGAAAAAAATATAACAGCTATCGCGAAAACTGCCATTGGCGATGGAACAGCGCTCTCCGATTGGCTGGGAGGCGGTGTCGAGCGTATACTGATTCCTGATTGGACTGTTGGTAACCCCACCTTGTCTCGTGGTGGGAATCATCCCTATGTTTATTTTTGTTATTCAACTCAGTCAGCCGTGAGCTTTTGCAGTGTATGGATGCGCCACGCTAATTGAGCTTTGGCAACGCGAATATTTTAAGGTTGTATTTTTTTATCTCGTCTGGAATTGCGTGCTGTGTTATTGTGGACTGTGCTAAAATACCAAAAGACATTGTTTGATTGTGCCTGCGACTGCATTATTTCGGAGATGGTGATCCTGTAAGTGATATACATTTTTTTTAAAGCAGTAATCTGCTCGATATAAAAATACATTAGTTTTATAAAAATGTTGCTTTATGTGATATAAAAATGCGCAAAAAAATACTTTTAAGTATCACTGATTTATGAACGATTTTAAATTCCTAAAAAAGCTTTGTTGGGATAATTTACCTTGTTCTTTGTTAGTTTATTATTATTTATTTATTTAATTAATTTAGTTATTCTTCCGGTAATCTCGTGGCGTCATGATAAAAGGTGTTTTTGTATGTATTTTAGATCAATGATGTCATGATAAAATACTTTTTGCTTTTCTTCTAATTTTTTATTAGATTATTGTTCATTATCTTCATATACCTCAATACAATAAAAAATAAATATTAGAGCTTGTTATCAATAAGTGATGGAAAAGGTGTTTTTATCTTAATCTGATCTTATTTGAAAAAAAATATAGTAAAATAGAAAAATAGCAAGTTCAATAAGTTCAAGAAATTTTAGAGAACTAAATTTTTCGAGGAACTCGATGGGGCAAGTGGTTAGCGCGTTCGGCTGCGATCGTTGAATCTAAGCAACTTTCGCAGTGTCGGTCATTGGATGGGTGACCAAAAACCTTCTATCTCGAGTTCCTCCGTGCTTCGGAAGTCACGTTAAGCCGTTGGTCCCGGCTGCATCTGCAGTCGTTAGCACCCGCCAATCCGCATTGGGCCCGCGTGGTGGGTGGGTATAGGGAAGGCCTGTGCCCCAGCAGTGGGGACATTAAAAGGCTGATGATGATGAAGAAATTTTAAGGCTTCTTATATCGAAAATATGTGAATAATATTCATCCATCCACGAAGCCCAATAGGGATAATGCCCAATATTTTTATCTGGTCTATCAGGTATTATATGTAGCCATGATGAATTAACAAAAAGTATATGACACGTATTTTTTTTACAAAATCAAAACATTTCAGGGATATATTGATTTGAACTTAACTTTAGCTTAAAAGTAACGACACGAGCAATGAAAATCAACTCTTTAGTGATAAAAATCAAAGAGGAATCAGTCGAGAACGTTTGTATGGAAAAAGCTATGCCCGCTTTCCCTCTTAATTAAACATAAACCGCTTTATTCCAAAATACGGACTACATTAGTCTTGGTTTAAACAGATGCTGCCTATGTCTCCTTTTTAGCAAACAAAAGTGTCAGCATCAGATTTAAACCAGGTTTAACTTTAGTCAATGTTTTGTAATAAGGCGGATCTAATCTTGAGCAGCAACATACTAAACCAACGGAATGTCAGGTACATGCGGAATAGTAGTAGTTTCATAGTTTTTGCATATTAATTACAATATTTAATTGTAATGTCATTCTTTTCTTTTTAAAAAATTGTAATCAATTTTCATCTTATTTCTTGCAGTCGCAGTAAACATAGTAGGTACCTAGTTTACTTTAACTATAAACAAAAAGTGTTTAAGTACTTTAATCAATTAAATACTGATAAAACCCTTGTCCAGCCGAATTTTGGTTTCTTTTTTAACCTACTTACACACTGAGAGCTTTTAGCCTTCCCCCCACAGACACATTCATATCGGTCAATAATATCGGATGCGTTATTGCGATAATACGCCTTCGCTGCGCTTATTTTTTTCCAGATTACTTTCCTAAAACGGGGATTTTCTATTAAAGTTTTTATTATAAGTAACTCAAAACTTTTTTCAGGAAAGTTTAAAAAAATAATTATCTCTTATCTATTAGACAAGTCCGTCCGTCCGTCCGTAGTGCTGTTTCAGCGGCCAAACCGTAAGAGATAGATAAAGTGAATGTTTAAGTTATAAGTTGAGAATAGTCTGATAAGACTACAAACCGGATGTGAGTTACGTAGCACTTCCGGTTTTCGAGAAATCACGTGAATTCTATTTCAAACGAAACCACACAAAATCTCCGAAGTTCTCAATTAATTAAATACATTTTTTTTTTGGTGAACATTTGGTTCACTGGTTTGCTAGTATAATATTTTATTATCTCAAAGTCACTACTTCACAGTTAACATATACTATTTTTGCTTATCCTGAGTTGCACTTACGTTTTAAACACTTATAACGTTTTTATTATTGGAAATTAAATCCACTTTCCTCATCTTCTTGGTCTTATAAGACTATTGCAATAGTCCTAATTTCCAAACATCTTATTAGAACGATTACCTAGTTTTGTAAATAATCCCTTAAAAAGCAAATCTAACAAATAATATTTACAAAATAAATTAGTTATTATGTAATTTAACATAATAATTTAAAAAAAATAGAAAACTTTACTATCGATAGTTCGTAGGTAACCAAGTCATAATAAACATTACATAGACGTATTCTCTTATCCTAATTTGATGACAACTTAATTTCGCACGTCAAATTTATCATCATAGCTACATTATTTTAATTATAAAGTACCTAATAAACACTATGATAATTCTTTATATTGATTTGAACGTGAGTTAAGTAAATCAAATATAAGTACCTACTTATATTTGATTTACTTAACTAACTAATTATACCTATAATACTTGTTAAATACTAACAAACATTAGTTTATTATTATAAGTAAAAAGTGCATCGACAATGATCATATTAACTCATGTTAAACAAATAATTAAAATCAACTGTCAGTTATCTATTGCGTGGTCAGATATTACCCCAGACTGCACTGTAATGCAATATTCCTAGTCTAATTAATGTATATAATGAAAGTGTGACAAGTCCCTATTTACACAGTTTCCATAAAATGTTTTCAGTCGTGCCTCTTTTTCTTTACACAATAACAGCTATAATAAGTCAATAACGCGTCTTCGTCCTCGTCCATGACGTGACGACATACCCATAAAATAAATAAGTAGTCAAAGTGGGGTGACTTGGGGAAGGTGCAGGGAAGCCAATTGGACTTAATTGGAACTCATTGGTGGCGTGACAAAAGGCTACACCGCGTTCGCTGCTTACGATACTTCAAATTTACTATCGAATATGGGAAACAAAACAGCATAGTTTGCTTGATAAAGGAATAGTGTTTTAAATTTTAAATGCTTTTAGGAAAACTCTGGTGTTCTTATGTTTTGTATGCGAGAATCGCATTGCCTAAGAATGAGTTGCACCACAGAGCCAGTTAAAGTTAAATGAAATTTTCACCGGTCACGCAGTTTCCCGGACAGTAATATTGTCACTTGCTGTCAAATTATGACCTCATTTTGACTATCGTCAAAAGTTGCACCTACATTTTTTGCCTAACCGGTACCTAGGTACTTTAACTAAACGGACAGTTAAAGTAAGTTGGTGCAACTCACGCTGAAGAAAACTCTGATGTTCTTATTTTCTGTAAATATATACGAAAATCTCATTGAGTTATTATTTCAATTGGTAAAAAGAATTACTTTTTGCACAAGTAGTATAGTAAATGAAGTTCTAATAGGAATAAAATAATAATCGTGGAATTAATATGTCAAGTTGAAGCTCAGCCTTGAAGTATTTTTTGCAAAAAAAATATAAATATTGCAAATACCCCTGATGGATCAAATATTATTAAAAACAATGAATAACATACCAAAGGTAATCATATGTACCTACCTAAACAAAATAAATCCGTCAAGGGCTTCGCAATGCTTATTAAATTATTTCAACACAGGTGGCAATTTTTTTTTGTTACTTAACATCTTCTTTTATCTCCTGTAATTCAAGTGTTGCATTTTGGAATAGTAGTAGTTGTGGAATAAGCAAAATTATATAAGCAATGCAGTGGAAATACGCAATACAAGCTGATTTGCTATTTATAGTGTCATGATGACGTTCGTTCAAGTTCTATGAGAGAGTGATTATAGTGAAATTCAGTCAAACGATTCCAAATCACAATTACGGAAATGTAGCCAATAACAATCTGATACTTAGTATAGTTTACGTTGTCCGTGCTGGCAGCTTTATTTTCGATTGACCGTGGATTGACCAGAGTTGTTGCAGATAAGGAATTTGGCAAACTTTTCCGATATCAAAACTGAGACAAAATATAACTATTAAAACTCATGAAATAAATCACATGAAAACAATCACAGTATTTTATGTACTTAGAATTAAGAAAAAACTGTTTCTATCGTTGTTGAAGTTGCCTAATATTTCTCTATAAATTAAGAAAATAATGATTTCAATAGTAGAAAACTCGGACGTTATGTTAAAACAGTGGCAAACAAGCGTGTGGCCCGCCTGATGGCAAACGGCCACCATAGCCTTTAGATGCTTGCAATACCAAAAAATATAACTTACACCACTGTTTCCCCTGACCCAATCCCCTACCAAGTGGAGTCCTGGAACTTTACTCACCGATAAAAACACAACACCACCAAAATGTAGCGTTATTTTACTGTGATCTTCTATAAGGCCTTCTTCTGGGGATGTAACCTCCAAACGGGCGCTCCAATTCGAGCGGAAAATCCGCTATGCCCTACCTCTCTTCAACTTAATGTCGAACAAAGTTATGGTTAAAATAAATCACAGTTTCGAATAACAAGATATACCTACTTATGTACCTACTGTAGACTGTGCCAAGGCAGTACCTAGGTACTTCTTCTCGATGGGAAGATATCCGTACACTCTCGTGTCTATTTACTTTCGTCTCTTTACACAAGTAATTCATCCAATTAAGCGTGCCCCTCAGACAATTCCACCAATTGGCCCGACAAAGCAGAGGGGAGACGTAACAAATAAGTATAGCTTTCTCCGCGATTTTCGCCTTTTATAACGTGTAAGCATGATAGTAGTCTTATTTCGTATTTTTCTAAATTTGAATGTACTTAATGTTTATATCGCTAATTAATAACGTTTTCAATATTAAGTTGCACTGACAGTAGTGTTTAAAATTATCTTTACAATAGGTTAACAGGAAATAGGGAATGACAGCAGAAGCCATTGAGTAATGGTCAATTCATATATTCTTACTATTCTTTAAAGGCGAATTTTAGAGACTTAACAAATCCAACTAAGATATCCTGAGATAAAAAGAAGACGCGCGAATACCGCTGATTATCAGCTCAGAAAGAAGATATGCATTACATTGCGGAGATAAGGGTTAATTCGTTATGTTTAGTTGTTAATAAGGACTGTTTGTAAAGAGCCCGTTCTTTGATACATATTTCAATGCATGTTCAATGTGTCTATAGTTAAAATACCTTAGAAAGTCTTTTTACGTTCCTGTTTCGGTCAGTGCAGGTACATCACTATTCAAAGTGGTTATGAGTTTTTTGATTAAGTTAAAACATATCTCCGTGGGGGTAGAAGAAAAGAAAAGGATTATCAACCATCAACCATGGTAACGTTGAAAAACACGAAGAGTAGTAAATAGAAACCGAGGACTCTTTGCAGTTTGACCAATCCACAAAAATCTAGATTTTTTATAGAATTTTACACTTGATGTTAGAAAAACAAGTTTCTTTTATGAAATAAGTATTTTTCAAATTAATTTTTAGTTATTGATAACGGCAACAGTATACTACTATGATTCTTGAAATACAGCAAAATGACAGACAGACTGACGAACGTACAGCGGAGACTTAGAGAGCTCCGTTGTTGTCACACTTCAGCTACAAAATTTTAAAAACTACTTCTTCATTAACAGCAGTATCCTTGTTGCAGTACCAGCCGCGCTGACATGTCAGAAGGGCAACCCACACCTGAATGGGACATCAACGACGCCGTCGTACCGAGGGTGACAAGTTTCGATACATTTAGCGAATGGTGTGACGGTCACGTGAGAAGAGTCTACCCGCCGGCCTGCGAGGAAGCACGCAGGCACGCTTCAGGCTGGGCCATGAGGAACACCAATAACCACAATGTGCACATCCTGAAGAAAAGCTGCCTAGGAGTACTGGTGTGCTCGGCCAGATGCCGATTGCCGGACGGATCGAGAGTGCACCTACGACCCGCCATTTGTGACAAGGCCCGAAAGAAACAGCAAGGTAATAATTCTTGAGAAGTCAGTATCGTTGTTGTACTGCGAAAACCCAGTAAGTCGAAATAAGTTGAAAATATAAATCGGCTCAGTTTTATGTCTGCGAAAATCCGATTATTTTTTTCTATTCATTGATTAATGTGATAATAAGTTCTATACGCAACGGATCAATGGAAACATATGAATGGATTTACGCAGACCAAATGTCAGCAATTTATATTAAGAGATAATTTCGATTTACAGGGTTTTCGCTGTACAAAAATGATAAAGGTACTTACATTAACTATTCGTATAAGTACCATTTAACGAATTTCTCCATTATGAGGTACCAGCAATGACGTATAATATACAGACAGGTTATACGCCAATATAATTGCATTTTAAAATGGTACAAATAGCCCCAAAGAAGTCTCTGTCACGCATAAATCATAAATCATATTACATCTCGCTCTTTAGCCTCCACGTGTTAACGTGTCAGCAACTGTCAAAATAAGGAATAACTAAATATTTTTACATTAATTTCTTTGAAACTGCACTTACGAATGAAATGATACGTTTTTCTTGTCTCTAATAGTTCTCGTGTAATTTGTGTACTATCTAAAAACACACATAGGGCTTTTTGTCTGGAAAAACGTAAAATATTTACACGTTGTAGCGAAGTATAGCCGCGGTGAGAAATCATGCACGACTGAATGCATGTCTGACTTTCGTATTGCCAAATAGAAGCGTGTATGATGTATCTATATCTTTAAAACATCATAGGGTACCAGGCTTATTTTGTATGAGACTACGAAAAAAATATAATATATCCTAGCGAAACCAATCAAACGGCGAGCTGCCTGCGATCGTAAAACTTATTATGGATGACTAAAAAATTATAAATCGAGCTGATCCGCGTTTTGAAGGGCATCTTAATATAAGTCGTTAATCATGAGCTGCATCTACAGTCCTAAGAAATTCGGACTTGGTCCGTTTTCCCTAAAATTTATCCCAGTGTAGTGATATTAATAGGCTGATGATTAAGTATCTAACCATTCGCCGGAATGAGTATTAAATCTTTTATTGATAATGCATAAGTGCATACAACGCAAAAATAAATTATTTCTGTTATGCAATTCACACACTATTGTACTTGCCGTACACGTTGTATAAGTTTCGGCTGCACTAATGCCGGGCGCCAGGTGGTAGCACTTAGGCGAAAGATCTACTCACCCGTCAAATCGCATATGTCGTCATAGTCTATGAATTAATTTAAAAGCTCGATCGATTAATTCGTGCCAAAGACTTCATGCGTGACGTAAATTTTCAGGAACACCCTCATTTACATCATGTTCAGTGTCTTATCTCATTGCGAAAATAATCTCCAACACATTAATATCCTTGCAGGCAAGCCTTGTCCCAACCGAATGTGCAACGGCGGTCGTCTAGAAGTCCAACCATGCCGCGGCCACTGCGGCTACCCAGTCACACATTTCTGGCGGCATACGGAACATGCGATATTTTTCCAAGCAAAAGGAGCTCACGACCATCCTAGACCAGAAGCTAAGGGCGCCAGCGAAGTGCGAAGAACGCTGGGAGCTGGCAGACGAGTGAGAGGATTGGCGTTGCTGCTAGCGAGAGAGGCGGCGATAGCGGATAAAATATTAACCGTGAAGCCGGATAAACAGATGTCGCAGAATATATGCACGCCTCATCAAAAACAACCCCCGCCGCTCATACCAGACAATCAGAGAGGTAATGATTACTTTGTTCTTTTTGGTTTAATCTTTGATTATTATAAACCCTAGATACCGTATATGAGGAGCTCGATGGCGCAGGTGGTTAGCGCATTCGACTAAAATCGTTGAAGTTAAGCAACTTACGCAGTGGTCGATCATTGGGCGGGTGACCAAAAATCTTCTATCTCGAGTTCCTCCGTGCTTCGGAAGGCACGTTTAGCCGTTGGTCCCAGCTGCACCTGCAGTCGATAGCACCCGCCAATCCGCACTGGGCCCGCGTGGTGGGTCATGGCCCAATCTCTCTATTCCATCCATAGGAAAGGCCTGTGCCCCAGCAGTGGGGATATAATAGGCTGATGATGATGATGATGATGATGATGATGATGATGAGAAACCGTATTGACTTCACGGAAGCGGCACAAAAAATATCTACGACTTATAGTAGATATGCTCGTCGTTACACAAGCACAGATTGACTGCTTTAGTACAATCTGACGTGATTTATTTGGATTGCCCTATGTAGGCGTTTTTCTAGTGGTCTGTGTAAATAGCAGATATTTCTGCCAACGTCAAAAAACCTGTCTTTAGAAGTGACGGATTTCTGCCACGCATACACAGTACAATGTTTAGATATAGAATAGATAAATAGAAATAGATACAGAAAATATTTGATATTGATTTAAGACATAAATGAAGACAATACGTTTAGTAGAACTCTAAATATAACAGTTTTTGTGAAGGGCGAGAACCAAAAGGGTTTGACGGCCGACGGCCATTTTGCTCACACAAACCACTAGATATATAATCTAATAGACTTTTTAGTATACCCATAAAGTTATACAAATTGGTTTCTCTCAGTAACTAACCTAGTACTACCATAATGTGGTCGTGCTGTGCTATGACCTATATTGGAACTCCAAAGACCATTTATTGCCCGTGTTACAGCATGGTCCTATACTGGCAGAAACGCGGGCAATAAATACCAAAAACAAACCTTTTCGTATTCGCTCTGTCAATAATGTCTAGATAGTAAATTTTATAATCACTTGAACTCCATTTCGATAGTCGTAGTGAACTAACTATTCCCCACCGCCCAACATTTATGACTGCTCTTAAACAAGAGTCCTGCGTGCAAGTTAGACCTATATGGAATTTAGTTTCGTTATCTCTTGTAATAGTATAAAGTTCTGGAGATCTTAATATTCGCTACTCACAAAAGTTCGTTGGCTATACACTTCTGTAATTTTATAATCGATATTCAGCTTTATCCCCCTTATTAATAAACGAGGAATAAGATGAGATTAGTTACACCGTGTTTTGTTCATATCACTTAAATGCCATTTGTCATTCATTCAAAAGACAGAGCCAAAACATGGAGTAACAAAGTCATGCTTATTCTTAGTTTATTAATAAGGAGATAAAAGTTTAAACCAAAGTCAAGGGTCTAGCCGTGTAACTTTTTCGTTTATCGCCTCAATTTTTATTTCATATACAAAGAGATATAAGAAACTCCTGACGACCTCCGTGGCCGAGTGGTTTGTACGCCGGGTTTCATGGTGTCACCTACTCGAGAGGTCCCGAGTTCGAATCCCAGTGGGGGCAGATGTTTGTGTGATGAATACGAACATTGGTACTCCAGTCATGGATGTTTAATATGTATTTCTACATAAATATACTTATATATGTACAGTATATGTATTCTATCCGTTACCCTAGTATCCCATAACACAAACCTTACAGTGCTTACTTTTGGGTTAGGCTAATTGGTGTGTTGTAAAAAAAAACTTATATAAGTATCTGAAACTGTATCCAGTTTGGCCCGGTAGCTTTTATTTTAAAACCATTTTTGTTACTTGGACGATGTAATTTTCACGATACTTTGTTTATGTGATCACCTATTACATAGATTTCTGGTCCGATTTGAGCGATTCTTTTTTTGTTCAGTAAAAAAGTTATTTAGTTTGTCCTTGTAGTTTGTTTACTTGGACGATATAACGTTCACTAAAATGGATGAAATAAAAAAAATAACAAAAAATTAAACCAACTTCGATATCGAAAATGAAACTAAAAGTAAAAAATAATTTCTGGTTCATGATTTGGAAGTCGGGCGAGGCCAAGATTGAAACATGGTATAGATTTTCATTTCTGATCGGTAATAATACGTCTTTCAATCTTGACAAAGAAATCTCTAACTACCATTGCTGTTGTACGTAAATACTTAATCTTTCATCTATTTGCATTTTAAAATGTATTTTATTCAACAGGTCTTACATGCACCTGCGGGCCATTCGAGTGCTCATGTCGGTGGCGTACAGAGCACCCTACAGAAGCGTACGCGGCGCCTGCGTGGTCCCCCGTAGAAGCCCAAGGTTATGGGGCGTACGCCCCTCCCGCGTCCTCCGTTCCCAATCTACCCCCTCAACAACACTACGACCCCGCCACGCTGCCAGCCGACGACATTTTCCACCCCGAAGAAATATTCCAACTAGACCAACCAATTCGCTTAGATTTCCCAATCGAAGAAACCACATTAGAATCGCCACCCACATTCGCAGACCTCAACGACAACTCCAGACCCGAGGAAGCCTATTGGCTGGATTGGCAAAGGGCGGCTGGCGGATCAGAATCCAGCGAAACTCCGTCCCCTGAACTGTTCGGCAACGGTTACCAACAAGCGGACGCTTACTGCGAACAGCAGACCTATCCACCCCAAATGTACTACCCTGAAGAAGCACATCAGTATTACCCTGTAGAAAACACTAGAACGTCCCCCGTAATGCAGATGCAAGAACAGAGGTACTACAGATACGGGCAGGACTGTGGGCAAAATAGTATGGACATGCAAAGTTGGAATTATACGGACTGCGCTTTCCCATCTAATGATGTTTCTGAGTGCAAACAATACTACGATGCGCAACACCATCAAACTATGAATGCGTTCAGTGAGCTTTTATAATAAACAAAACAAGTAGTGAAATAACCATGTAAATATTATAAATATTGTAAATAACTTATATTTTAATCCGTTTTGTTATCTTATATCGGATTATACTCCTGAAATATATCTATATTAGGTATATTGCAGAACATCTTTTGGTTCCTATTTCGGATAATAATAGCACCCTGTAATAGTTTTTAAGTATTTCTAATTCGATCTGTGAGAAAATAAAACAACCATTTGTACAAAATCGTCTATTTATTGTATATAAAAATTACATTAAAATTGTCAATTTTACATTTTCCTTTTTATTTTCTAACGATAAATTGGTCACTACAAAATAGTCCACGAAGCGATCACACAATAGATTTATAATGCATTTTGCGTTCGCAAAACATTCCGAAAACATTTCATTATGACACAACAACATGACAATTTAATCATAATTATTTTAACGATGAACGATCGTGAAAACCAAACTCAATTTCGTCAACATGAAAAAAAAACATGCCAAAACTTTGTGTCCAACACAACACATTGTTACAATAAACACTATAGAAACCGCCAGTCCGCTCGCGTGTTTAGTAATCACGCAACTTTATTAACTTTATCACTTTACGATTAAGATTACAAAATAAAACAAATTCAGTTGCTATCCGAAAATTTTTAAAACCTTACTTTATTACCCCTTCGAACAATTATTATTTACAATAGCAATACAATGTTACCTCCAGTGGTATTATTATGAACATCGCTCGAGAATCAAACTCGAATACGCAATAGTGGATATTTTCACCACAACGTCAAACAAATTGGTGGCACTAGTATCGTAATATCATAGTCGCACGAATGCCACATCATATACGATTACAAACAAGCGATAAATATCCAAAGCTAACAGCAAGCTCGTTAGTCCATCCTAGACGCCAATTATGAACATTACGATAGCAGCACCAATCCGATCTTTGAATACCGCTTGAGTCGAAATTTACGAACAGCTATGATAGTACAAAATATGCTTAAATTTAGAATAATGTGTGTGTGTGTCTTAGAAATAGGCCCTAATAATAATTAAAAATCATATTGCGTTTGTTTTGTACTAACAAAACTGTTCGCGAGGAATCGAGGAGAGCACAGCACGCACTATCACAGCAGTCGGCAATTGCCGAGTACAGCACTACCAACCTTGTGTCTACATATTTATTGATCTCTATATAATCACCACATACAAGGTTAGTAGCACGGAGGCCCCACGTTGGGCGCCACTTACAATAAGGCCACAAACAAATTTCACACGAAGCATTATCCTCATGTCCTTTTAAAAACAACTTTAATTTTGCGCTTCCATCAACAAATCTACAAATAACTGTTACAATAGCTTAAATTATTATTCGGACGCACATGAGTCTATTAATTCCGCCATTTAACTTACAATGTGTTTTTATGCGGAGTTGCAAATAAGTGATTTAGTTGGGATCTAATTCTCTGTAAGGTGAAATATTTGTAAGATCTATTAGGGAATATCTAGAACTACAGCTAGTGTGTCACACCGTTATTAGTGTGGAGCCATTGAGATAGGTCGAGATCGTATTTTAAAGCGTTTATCATTTGCAGAAGCCTATCAATTATTTTGTAAGAGAAACTCTTAATATAGGGAACGACATTCCCGCTAAATAATAACTATGACTTAGGATCAAGATTTTAGACTTACAGTTAGGAAAATCTTAAGGATGAATAGAGGCCAACCTACAGTTTACAATGAATTACACTACTACGACACTTGGGATAAACAACTAATCAACTTTCTCTATCGCTACAAATTTTGTGCTGCTTTAAAACATATCACGAATTATAACTGTACCATCATATCAAAGAAGTAAAACATAATCATTTATATTAGTAAAACAAAAATAAAATTATTCATGAGTTATAATGAAAAATAATAATCATTTTAATTAAATGTAAGTAACACAACACAATATAGAAACAATGTCAATAAATATAGAATACAAATTATATCTATAAATTTCTAAAGAGGACTAAGTAAATTTGTACTACAGAGAAAAAGAAAGTCACGGTCCAAAGATACATTTCGACGTGAAACATCTTTGACCTTAAGACGTCATCATACTTGAATCGCGCAAGTTTTGTCGTACGAGCTCGCGATTTGTATGTAGACAGAAACTTTAATATATACGCGTAATAACGATGATAGTGTCGCCTTCTAATAGGAAAACGCCTAAGTCAACTAAATCGTGATTAACATCAACACAATTACTACAGTCGAACTTGTACTTTGCGAAAAATACTCTAACAAATTAATGTGAAATATATTTTTCAACGAGAGCATTACATTAGTGAGCGCGTAGAACCGAGCAACATGTGATTATATAATTATATCATTTTGATACCTGACATTGACAAAACCAACTTAAGCCTCCCCAAAACAGAAGCGATCGCGATCTACCCGCGCTTTCATGCTTGGTTCACACTGGCACGATGGCGAATTCGTATTTTTGATAACAGATAACTGATTATTATATTTGATAGTCGGTGCAGTTCACAATAAACGTCACAACAGACACGCGCGATAGCGCCTGAAGTAGTCTACCACATATCTCATATTCTCCTTTCATATTTTACAGACTATCACATCTAACCGCTACTACGACCACAGATCGGCTCTATTTAGGGTAGGCCTTATACTCCTTGTTCGACAGTAATACTCAAAATTTAATAAAATGTTCTTAGTAAGAAAACGCCTTAGCATTTTATCGTATAACGCCAAATGTTTTTATAAAGTAAATATCTCGAGAGACGTTTTAATAAAAGAACCAATTTTAAAAGAATATAATAATCGGAGCGTTAAGTTACTGTATAAAGATAAATACGTTATCAGCATCAAAAATCTACGTCTACGTGGAACTTAATTTTTTCCGAGCGCTCTGTTAAGGAATCTCCTTGGATATTTTGCAGCTATGGAAGACATGGACTAGGTGGAAATGCACTCGGACACTTAAACGAAAGAGACATTATGACCGACTTATATGACAAAAACCGGTCTAACGAACTTCATTCGAATTACTTAACGCACACAGTTTTCTCTAGCATATGAATCGATCTTAAAGAATTATACTTCGGAAAAAATAACGATACATTTTTGTGAAGGACTTTCTACACGAACATCAAGTTTTAATTTTATTTTATTCAAGACTCACATAAGATCTCTTTTGAATACCTGATCTCGGAGCTGACATTAATTATTAAATTATGACGTCAATTGGTGGTTGGTGCCCAGCATAAGAGCTAGAATGACGCACAAAGTTAAGTAGCTTGAACATATGCGACGTACCCAAGAACATTAATAATTGGATAAGTAATAGATAGTGTACGTAATTGACGCCCTTTCCAGGTTCAGTAATATCATCACGAGATGTTACAAGAGATCAACCAAAACGGTATGTTTAAAGCTACACATTAGTAATTCATGTGATTGGCTACCAAGCTATTTAATGGGCGGGGTCATCACAATACTTGCAGGGGTTGGGACTGTCGATTCTTCGAAATCCGAAATTGTACTAAAAAGTATTAAGAATGTGTTACGTAAAATCTAGTAGTAAAAATTAAGTAGTGGGTGCGGCCTTCATAGAGACCGGTAAAAAACGTGTCAGATAGTATATAGAAAGTATAACTTTATTCAATCAAAGTAGCTAATTTTTTTCCTTAGAGACCACCTCAAAAATTGCCAGTGATGATTACAAACATGGACATGGAGAAAAGATTTAGCGGCACTGGAACTCTCTAGACAGAGTGATATAACCGCCAATACATACATGAACTCTGAGCCGCCTGAACTCCCAAATATCCCTCCCACTTACTTTCGTTTTACTTTGCAGTTGTATAGAAAAAGCTCAGACCATTATCTAAATCTATGACACATAAAGTAGCCACGAAAACAGTAGGACTTTAGGTTCACGAGTTTTATCAATGACAAATCATCAAGCAATGAATACTGTCGAACTTTAAATTCGCGAATTTTATTAAAAATGGTTTTTCGTGACCGTCGCATAGTTAATGTAAGATCTAGTTGGCTCACGAGCTAATATTAAGTTCACGAGTTCTATTAAAAAAGGTTTGTCGATCACGTCACTTTGGTGTAGTAAGATCTAGTTGGCGCACGAGCTTAGTGGTGGGCGCGTGCGAACGTCACACAGTAAGGTTTAATCTAGTTGGCTCGCGTGGTAAGTGAGTATGAGCAAACGCCAGGATGTTGCTTCCAGCCCCTCCCTAGCATGAGCATCGTATTATGATATATCGCTCGATTTTTACACGCTAAATTGTCAAATTACTACGAAGTTTGGCAGTAAGACGAGATAAAAAAACCTTATATAATGTGTATCGTGGTGCTCATGCTACGAGGACTGAGCTAGTTCGGATCCAGGAGGCGCAGACCCGCGGGCTACGACCGCTATAGAACTGACCGTTAACTCGAGGGACGAAGCATATATTAAGTTCAGAGTTCTATTAAAATAGTTGACGAGAACGTCACGCTGATAAGCTATAGTGTTGGGGTACAAAATTCAAGAGTTTTATTAAACAAGGTTTGTTGAAAACCACACATTGGTAAGGTATGACCTGATTGGCTCGCGAGCTCAGTAGGTGCGTACGAATATTCAAAGTCACGAGTTATATTATAAAAGTTTTGTCGAGAACGTCACATCGGTAAAGTATATCTAATTGGCTCACGAGCTAAATGGGTCCGTGCGAACGTCAAAGTTCGCGAGTTCTATTACAAATGGTTTGTCGAGAACGTCACAGTGGATCTGTAAAATCTAGTTGGCTCACGAGCTAAGTCGGTGCGAGCGATCGTCAGGGCGCTGCCTCTTGAGCTAGTTCAGAGCCAGGTGGCGCAGGCCCGCGGGCTACGACCGCTACTGAACTGACGGTCAACTCGAGGGGCGAAGCGCCTACGCGACCAACGCTGCATTCCATGTCCGTCCTGGGGACAAGACTTTTTTTAGAAACAGTCTTTCAAGGCTCACGGTCGCAATCAGAGGCATTTTTTTAAGTTTTATTTAAAGTTGATGCCTTCAATTTCCTAGCGATAGCAATAGATGTAAAAACAAAATACATTACTAAACAAGCATTCAATTTGATTTGGAGTCACTGAGTGTAAGATTTTTTTGTTTGGCCTATGTTATATAACAAATTTAACAACTGGAAATTTTGTATTACAATAAAAAATTCTGTTTAACTTACATGACGCTAGCTGTAGACATTTGCATCTTAGAACTGTGCCATTGCTCGCTGGCTTCTATGGAGTCTAGTTGGTCTTCTCCCATCGCGGGCGCACTCGTACTTGGGTCGCTAGTCGACACGGGCGAGTCCAAGTTTATGAGTGTACCGGTCGCTACTTCACTCACTCGACTCGATTCTTCCATGGTCGACTGGCAAGTGTCGACTGACTTTTGCATGTCTGTCCCAAAAAGCGTCCAATATGAATGAGAATAAATGACATTTGAAAATATTCTTTTGTAGTTAATTCCTCAGTGATAATTTCAATGTTTCATTCTTAGGCCCACTTGCACCAAAAATCTTAGTTCAAATTAAGGCTTTAATCCTGTGTAACACATAATTGACAGTTGTTTAAAGTTAAATACATATATATATATAGAGACTGAATGGGAAATAAACATTATTAGCTTTTTTAAATTTGATTTAAGAACTTTGGTGTAAGTAGTCCTGAATGAATTTAATATTCCATTAAGTTGGGTTAGTACATAATTAATGCATGGGGTAGTTAGAGTATTGAATGTCATCGAAATGCGTACTATAATGCTTTTACAGTCGAGAACATGTTATTTCAATGCATAAAACTTTATATTGGCAGTGATTTTATTGTACTATCGAGGCCATGGAGGTTAGACAGAAGGAAAACGATCGCTACCTGCTAAAAAATTAGCCCGCCTGACCTGAAAATTTGTAGAATTTATAGTTTATCTTTAAGCCACGAGCCGCGCTGCCGTCGGTTAGTAGTATCTGTGAAGTTAGCTGTTTTTGAGTATAAGTAGATGAAGTAAGATGTATAATGCACAAATTTTCTTTTCGGCATTGGTCAATTCAAATTAGCCCGCTTTTATTGAGACAACTTAGCGATTGCAGCGCCTCACTTATTTTGTCCATATTTCTGGGACACTATTTTCTACAGCGATCTTTCTCCTTCTCTTTAACCTCCATGATCGAGGCCTTGAAAGTACAATACTCATACTACACATAACTCTAGTAGAAAATATAGAAAATTTTCTTTTGCGACTGAAATGTGTGAATTTATACTTGGATATTTCTAACCACTAAAATTATTGTGCTGATATTTTTCGAAAATTAATCCATTACAGACAACAGACATATTGTGAAATATTTTCCGAATCATCGTAGAGAAAGTAAACTTTATGATTTTTATATTGATGCAGTTAATATCAACTTCAGGCACTTAGTAATAAAGACCATTTTTCAGACTACATCACTGTTCTGTTGTCTTTGATGGGTCGAAACACACATCAGTTTACGGTACAGTATCAAATTTTCTCAATCGATTAATAAATTATAAACTTTACATTGAACATAAAGTTTAAAATCCATTAGTTTCAGATAGCCAGATGTGTTTTGTGTGTCCATATTCGTTAGTGACATCCAGTGCAAATGATGATTATGAGAGTGAGTTACGATAAGCAAAAAATATTAAGAAAGGCATAAGGCGCTATGGTAATGAGGTGAAGAGTAAAGGCGAGACCTGGGGCATGCATGTAGGTCAACCACTTCTTGAGGGGTCGATTCTCGGGGAGCACCGAGAGCACGCTGTTTTTCATAATATCTGCAACGCAATGTGAGCGCGCGCGTTAATCGACCCTTATTTTTAATGCTCATATATCAAAAAACATAAATAAAGCCACTTCTTAATAAAATTATATATTAGTAAATCTAGTAGTAGCCCTTAACAATAAGGATAAGGCAGATTTTACATTTGTGGTAAAACAAAAACGATTGTTAGCACGTGTATCGACATCCATTGCTAATTGTAGTACTAGAAAGCTAAAACACAATTCATTGAGGCCAAGCGATACAATATGTGCAAATAATACGCGTTCGATAAGGGCACGTTTTCACTATGTAACAACAAGCAGGCGTCAGGTTTCAATTGTTGTAGTATTTATCTAATACTTTGCGTAAACTAAACAGAGAACATGAAAACTACGAAATGACAAATTTAAGTAACAACCTATATAAATAATTTAGATTGTCACTCAACTCTAGCCTGTACACAAAAATAAGCTAGTATCTCAGAATAAGAATTAAAGTATAAGTAAAGAGGTTAAATTTAACTTATAAAGTCGACTCATTTACTTATCTTATTTTTACACTTTCACCAAAAAAGGGACAAATATACTCGTATGTTGCCATGTACATACTTTTTTTTTTAATAATTCATGACCATGGATACAAGTCCTTCAGTCGTATACATAAATACAAACCTTAATCTTCTTGTTTACATTAGAATGTCGGTGTGACACATTTTAATGTTTCTTGGAGTGTTTGGCACGAAATGTATCGAGTGTACCATACTATGAACAGCGTGCTTACCACTACACAAAACGTCAATTTGGATACCTTAGTTACCTTTACGATACCAAATCAAAAAGCGATCTTTAAATGCAACCTGCCAACACGCAACTAATACTTTTTGGTTGCGTAATACTGTGCTTGGAAATCTTTCCGTTACATATTTTTCGTAGACAATAGCTTTGGGAGTGTACGCCCGAAAGTCAGCATTACTTCTATACTTTAGTTCTTGTTCTGAGGGTCGTATTTAAGAAAGCTGAGCTTTTCTGTCAGTGGCCGGAGTAACGACGCTTGGGCTGTCCGGCTAATGACAGCTTCCATTCCCATTTGACATGGATTTCCTTTTGTGAGGAATTGTGTAATAAAGAAAGCGTTCCATTAACTCGTTTCCATGAACTGAGTAGTCATCGGACGCTTAAAAAATATCGAGGAATGACAGTCATTCAAACATATAAATGCCACGACACAAATGCGTGAATGCGTCCTTAGAAGTCAAATCAAGCTTAAAACAGTAATATGGAAACAAAAAAAAACTTTATAATGGAAGTGGGCTTCTCTAAAATTTTCTTAATCTACACTGACCTGCAAAAATAAGTATCAGATTTCTATACTTTCTAAACTACAGAAGTTAGTGATTTAAAATAAAAAAACTTTTTATAGCAAATTTTATCAGCTTTCTTTAAAAGTGTAGTACAAACTAAAACTCTTTTTCGAGTCGTTTTACTTTGAAAATGTCTTGTGCACTTTAAAAGTGTGATACTTAATTTTACAGGCCAGTGTATATCACATAGAGAGATGGCAGGTGGATATGGTTTACTACTGATTCGCGTAAAAAAATATCATCATTTTTCTATGTACACTTTATGCAATGTATCTATGAATTTTTAAGCTTAAGTATATGTAATAAATTACTGAATTTATTTATGTGTCTGGAGATTCATTATTGCAAATAGATAACACTAAATACAATGGTATAGATTCTGGCATGATTCTGTAAATTTAACATCAGTCTCACTTTTTCATTAAGCATAGAGAATGACAAGGATACACTGGTGACAAATTAAATTTTAGGTTTAGAGAATCATGCCAAAATCGACACCAAGCTATGGCTAAAGCGTTATATTTTTGATGTGTAACTCGTTCCTCTCGCTTTCGTGCAATTTGTGGGAGTGATTACGTGAAGTGGGAAAGAAGTGTGTAACAGGAAGTTTGAGAAGTGCGCGCTATTAGATTTAATTTAAGAACATAATGTTCAAATGGCTTATTCCTTTTGTAGCAGGTTCTATTTCTTTTTTTACTAATATAAGGTGAGGTTTCAAATGTTACACATCATACGCGACTACTGTAAGGCTCGCTCGCGTTTTTTAGTGCGTAGTGTACATATGCGCTTACTAAATGTGATGTAGCTAAAGATAAACTTACCTTGTTTGTGTTTATGGTCGCAACACGGCGGATGCGCTAAGTGCTGTCGCAGCGGTTTCACTCGCACTCGGTAGAACCGCGACCCTCGCGGCATACCAAACCTATTCCCGCTCTACGAACAAAAGTACATCTAGTATAGAAAATTCTCGTGTCACGGTGTGCGTAATTAAACTCCTAGGAAAAGGCTCGACCGATTTTCGTGAAATTTTATATGCATAATCAGTAGGTCTGAGAATCGGAAAATATCTATTTTTCATCCCCCCTAATGTTAAGGGTGCTCCGCACAATTTTTTTTTGAACAACATTTTTATTGTTATTTTTTTATGATACATCATACAAAAATACATACAATCGTAAATTTTCACCCTTCTACCACCAACCCCTATTTTTTTATGGCTCAGCTAGTAGTGAATAAAAATATATAAACATTTTCAACACTCACATGAAGTTTATTAGCCCCAAAGTAAGCACTGTACAAGGCTTGTCTTATGGGATACTTGGGAACGGATAGAATACATATACTGATACATTGAAACATATTTAGCTAGAAATATATATAAACATCCGTGACTAAGGTGCAATGGTTGTATTCATCATTCATACATTTGCCCCGCCGGGATTCGAAACCTTAAAAACCGGCGTACATACCACTCGAGCCACGGGGTTCGTCAAATTATAAACGGAAGAAAAGGCTTGTATTAGTTATGCTGTATGTTTTGTTTACATGAATCAAATGACAATTGTAACTCAATAATAAGAGTCAACTAAATAAACATAAAATAGTTCTTGTATTTAAGATTTTTTGACACTACTTGACCTCTCAAAAGAAGTTACGTTAAATTTTTAGTTTCATTGAAACTTACCTTCTTTGCATAACAGTATTCTTTCGATTCTACAGTAGCGATCGCGTAGAGTTTTCTATCACATTCGTTCTTTAATTGTATGCTAAGATCAAGAGCGGGCAAACAATCGCTGTGCACAAAGTACATTATCGACGCTTCCTGAAACAATTAATTAAAATATAATTATGCGTTTGGCTGTAAAGTTAAGCCACTTTCGCAGTGGTCGGTCATTGAATGGGTGACCGAAAATTATTGTTCCCGGTTGTTATGCATTGTTTCCGGCTGCATCTACAGTCGTTAGCAACCACCAATCCGCATTGGGCCCGCGTGATAAATCATGGCCCAATCTCCCTATTCCATCCATAGAGAAGGCCTGTGCCCAGCAGTGGGGATATTATGTAGACTGATGATTATGGTGAATTGCGGCCAGTTGCAGTGACTTTGATATTGTGAACTTATATATATTAAAACTCGGAAGGGTAAATTGCTGGATGGTGTAGCAAGTGACTCCATTTATCCCAGCCAATATCGCAGTGGGAGTTTAAAGTGAACTTTCTGAAAAATATACGCCATTATTGCACCATGCACTGTGACATGATGTGTATTCTTTTCTAGGGATTTTTTGGCGCGAATTTATTAGGCAAGAAGTTTAACGTTACACTGTGAATCTGGTAACGACAACCCATGTAATTTGCGTGTTCGCAATTCGATAACATTCTTCCTCAAATAGCATACTTGAATGCAGCGCCATCTACTGAACCCAGTTTTAAATCTAATTCCCTCAAATGCACTCGTGTTCAATAAGCTATTTGACAAATTTTTGAAAACTTTTTATACGTTATTTATTAATTTATAGTTACTCTATAAAAAGTAGATAATATTTATAATAGTTCTATTGCGTATATCAGTAAAAAAAGAAAAAAAAAATATTTTCAAACATGCCGCAGATTTTTTTCTTTAGCAGGTGACGTCACGCGGCTCTTATCAAAACGTCAAACATTACAAAGTAATGTCACTTCAGCAATATGTTTACAAGCAGGTGACGTTATTTAAAGCTCCGCCAGTCCTAGGCGTTTTCGGTCACGTGACAACAGATTTAATAATACTACTCTACCTAAAACAAACACTACTCTATTTCATCATTTTGTAGTAATATTATCGACTACTTTTTTGTCAGAATAGTGCAATCGCTCCCAATATTCATGTAAAATACACATGCTAATAATCGGTACTTTGCTTTCCATACTGTCAAAATACATACTCACGTACAGGGCTAATTCTATGTGTGTAGAAAAAAGAGACCAGTAAAATGTGAACATAATATTGTTTACCTGCATAACAGTGTAGTTGAGATGGGCAGGGTCCCACATTACGAGGACAGTGTGTCCAGGCAAACAGGAAGACAGACTGAGTGTGCCAGCCGCTAGGCCGAGCGGCGTGTGGCATCGCGACTTGCCTTTGCGACCGTCACCCTTAGACGATGACCTAAAAAGTTTAATATATATTTTTATTTCTTTAACATTTAAATGCTAGATGTTTATATTGTAGTAAATCACATGTGATATCCCCTCATCCTACGTTTTTTATAGATATAACTGAAAATATCTAAACAGCTGGTAGTATTTATTACTTGACAAATCTGGAGAAAATTTATAAAAAAAATTGTTTTAAAACTAATTATTGAACAGTAATTGCTCGTAGAAAAAGGTACAGATGCCAACCTTTGTTTGGTGTTTAGACTCACTTTCACTAAGAAATAAACACAATTTTTATTATTGTATTGAGGAGCTCAATGGCGCACTCGATTAGCGCTTTATCATATTTAACTTTCACAGTGGTCGGTTAGTGCATGAATAAAAATATAATATTTCGGGCTCCTCAGCACTCCATCTGCAGTCGTGGTACCCACCAAACAGCACTGGGCCCGCGTGGTAGGTCATGGCCCAATGTCTCTGACATTAATAGGCCGATGATAATTATTTTTATCATTGCGCGTGTTTGTCATTACCTGCAGTCACTATCTTCGTCTTTGCTCTTCTCGGCGTCGTCCGCCTTCTTCTCCAACTCTTTCTTCAACTCTTGAACCTGTTGTTGCAATAAAGCTTTCTCATTTTCTAGCGTAGCAAACTGCAAAAGAGAGTGAACCTTATCTCTGATACTATAAGACAGAACAATCACACTAATATTATAAATGTGATAGTTCGTGTATTTGAATGTTTGTTACTCAATCACGCATGGACAGAACTTTGCATGAAAATTGGCACGCGCATAGTTTATTATTGGGATTGAGACCTAGGATGCTTATAATAGCGAAAGAAAATTAGGTTCCTGAGGGATTCCCAAAAAAAACAAAGGTTGGTGCGGACAAAATCGCGGGCAGTCGCTATAGAAGATATAAAAATCAAATTGAAGTGCACGTTAGGGGCAGTTGCTTCCACCATACAGGAGAACACCGTGAAATAACACTGTTTTGACGGTGTTACCTTTCTGTAGCCAAGTAAACTTCCAAAACTTCAGGGGGCATTGTAGGGAATGGTGCTCATCATCTAGTACTCTTTTTCACTTATTTTCTTTACGTACGTATATAGTAAAACTCTCACGTCTGAAAGTTTGTTAAAGTAAGCGTCAGCTCACACCGAAACGCGACGCAACGCTGCACAGAGCGACTCAAAACATAACTTTATTTACTACGCGAAAAGATACACATTTTATTGTTTGAATTCAGAATACATTGCACCACGCGTAATCTGTACAGTATTGTTTCTGTATCGTAAAGTTTTTATACAACTTTAATTCAAATTATACAACTTAACCTAATTCCTGGAAAGGTTTCGTGCGGACGTAAAAGAGCGTAGTGCAATCGCGACTATTGCTGTCGCGCTCACTCTCACCACCTCTCTAAATGAGGTTTGTAAGGAAAATTTACGACATTAGTTGGCGCCACTGAGACATGAGATCTTTGGTACAGTGCGGCAAGAATATTTATGAGTGACAGTTTAGGGAGGGCGGTGACCATAAATTCCATACGCAGTATGACGTTTACGAAGATGGTGGCGTTAGTTCCAATTTTCGCCACATTCATAAAGATCCATGTCGCACTATATAAAGTTATTGGCGCGAAATCTGCTACCGAGCATTAAAATTGATCCATATACTATGACGACACACGTGAGTAGACCTTTCGGCTCGGTGCTGCCACCTGGCCGCCGAACTTCCAGAAAACCTTCATTCGGAAGCAATACCATGCAATAGTGTAATCAGACAATGCCCAGTAGTATTTTGGCGAATACTTTAAAGTAACACGAACAGCAATGGCAGTGGCTGAATGTAAACGGGACATATGATTAAAATTAATTACGTCTACTTTTAAGAGAGGTAGGGGATAGCGGATTTTCCGTTCGAATTGGAGCGCCCGTCTGGGGAGGTAACCTCCGCCTTACGGAAGACAACGAAGACACAGTAAAATAACACTACCTTTTATTGGTGTTGTATTTCTGTAGGTGAGTAAGGTTCCAGGGCTCCATGGGGTAGTGGATTGGGTCAGGGTAAACAACGGCGCGAGTGATACTTCTGGTATCGCTAAACCAGATATGATATGGGTTATAGGCTATGGTGGCCGCTTGCCATCAGGCGGGCCATATGCTGGTTTGCCAGCCTTTTAAAAATAAAATAAATCGTATTTATTTTTATTTGGATTTGTAGGGGATCCCTCAGTCACATATAGTTAAAGACAGGCAACAAGCCCAGTAGTTAACTTAAATTTCTCTTCTTCTTTTAAATACCTGTGCTTTAAGTAGCGAATCGTAGTCGTTGGTCTCGGGGTCGGTGAGCTGTTGTATAGTATCTCTGTACTTGGTGCACTCACGACTTAGCACTTGCTCGCGTTCCCTCATCAACTCTAATTGCCGGTCCTTCTCGGCGAGAAGGCGGCGGGTGGCTTCGTTTATTGTCACCTAAGTAAATAATACGTAAGTAAATAATTAGTGCATTACTGCAGTGGCCAGCAAAGGAGGCATTGATGGAAGATCACGTGGGCCAATGCGAAGCTGAGACACACATACGTAAGTCCATCAATGCCTAGTTGAGGCCAAGGCTTGTATAGTACTTTTCTTAAAAAATGTGCGGAAATTAAAACTAATTAGTACCCAGGCAGAACTTTCCTTAAAATCAATGACAAACAACGAACAACAACACTCATTATTATTATTTATTTCAATAAACAGCTTTCTATTTGCAAGTCAGTTCGAATTTTAAGTAAAACTTTTTATAGCACAGTGTGACCTAAACCAGCACTTTACGCACGCTTTTCCGTGACCTAAGTTGCCTATTTCTGCACGGTGTGTAAATGAATTGACCAACTTCACTCATGTAGAAAAAATAAAAGGAAACACATTTAAATGTCATTTGGAGCTTAAAAACTCACAGCAAACAAATGACAAATTACCCAAACGTCCACCACTGAAAATAAAAGAGTGCAGACTGAGGAAAACGATTGCTGAATCAGTGCGATCGCTGAATTCTTGTTTGAATTATACGAGTACAAAAAATAAAGCTCATTCCCGTTGTTTAATATATTGTTATGCCAATCAAGGAATAAACGTTCATGGATACATTGAAATTCTATTTTGTTATAATGATATTTGATTTTTTCCTTTTGAAATATACTTTCAAAATGGTAATCTGAACCGGAATTCTTTCTTTTCAGAGTTTGACTTGCAGTCTGTATTGCAATTCTTTGTGATTGCAATACATGAATTTTACTTTCAAAACACTAATCGCATCCCTCGCTCCGCTCGGGCGCTAACTTCACGCCGTGCAATAATAGGCAACTTAGGTCACGCGTATCGTAATGTACTATTATAAGTTACCAACCAAGGTTGCCATGACTCGGTGTAAAAGATCGTTCCATTTTTAAATTACACGACAGATATGAGTTTACTATGTAATTTTTTTGGCTACTGAACACGGCGGATATGGATTTTAATTCAACTTTTGCAGGCCGCTGTTCGAATGTATGTGGCCAGTTTTGATTTATTTCTAAGAAGGTTGTCTAAATAATGCTCAAATTTCCAAGCATGTTAGAGAAAATGCATTATTAACAAATATGTTTTTTCGGTGGATCGGGTCGGTACTCAAGCAGCACAAACTAGTTGTACAAGAGTTGATGACTATTGCCAATTCTTTTAGCTGTCTTGGGAGACTGTTTATAATATAGTATACAGCTCTCACAAGTGCGGATTAGGACCAAATTATACAGCCTCTTTCTTTAGATAGGCTGGTTAAAGTCAGTACGACATCTGTATTATAACTGTTTAAAGACTACAATAAGGCTGTTTAATAAGCTTTTACTCTAAAATTTTCTTTATACATCTGTTATTCAGGTTTTAGTTTGATAAATTATGTGTCTTTATTTGAACGACTTAATAGCGTTGTATTACTTATAAAAAAACAAAATTCAGTATTAAAAGACTGATGTCTACAAAGACAATAAAAAGTGAATCAGACAAAATGTTTTAAATCTGAGTATGTAATTTTTTTTCATCTAGCAATTTCGCTGACTTATCAGCTACGGTGAAGTACATAGTATGGCAGTCTTTGATAAGAAAAAAAGCTATTTCGAATATCATTGAGGCGGATTAGTACCTGTTTTTCCGTATCGAGCTTGGCCTTCAGCTGTCCCACTTCAGCTTCAAGCCTCTGCTTCCACTCAGCCTCCGCTTTAGCAACGGCTTCTTTCACCGCCTCCTCCTTTTCCATCTCGGCGTTCTCTTTAGTCTGCATCACTATCGCGTTGTGACTAGTTATCTCGATGACGTCAGTGCGCTCGATCTTCTCAAGGCTAGATTCGGATGGCGAACGATCCATGTTCGTGAGTGCTACTAGACGGAACCTGATAAAGGAAATAGGACTTTTAGATTGTCGCCATAGGATCTATGTCTGTCATATTATTCAAACACAACTGAAGTACGAAAAGACGAGAAACACTTATATTAAGAATCTTTGGCCTTTCAAGCGATAAATAATAATTATAAAAATCATTTAATTCGGACAAGGATACATCCATAATATGGTTAGTTACATGATTACTTATTATCTAGTGTTAGTATCGAAATTAAAAAAAAACGTATTGCAAATTAATATAACTATTTATTCCTTACCTGGATCGTAAAGATTCAATTTCAGCTTTATAGTCCATGTGCAGTTTATCTTGCATATCTTTTATATCTTTCTGTTTCTGCGTTTCCATTTCTTCTAACTTCTTTGCGAAACCAGCTATCTCCTCTCGGCACTTCTCAAGTGACTCCTCAGTGTTTTTGTGTTCTTCGTTAAGTTTCTCTATCTCCCTCTGATTTTCTGCCTTTATACTGTCTTTCTCTTTTGACAGCGTCTCTATGACTTCATCTTTTTGCGCGAGCGTCGCTTTCATATCGCTCAATTCCAACTCGTGGTCTACAGTCAGTCTTTGTGTTTGTTCCCTGTGTCGCAATGAGATTTCCACGCAACTGTTTTCGTATGCCTCTACAACTTGCAAATACTGGCTATTAATAAAGCTCTTATGTGATTCCACATCGTCTTTTAGCTTTATTAACTCTCCTCTTATGAAGACTACATTGGCTCGACAGAGAGCGCATAATTTCATCAAAAAGTCTTGAAGTTTATCAATGTTTATTTTATGCGTGTCCATGTTGTCCTGGAATGTTTATGTCACATTTAAAACCACGAAGCGAATCTTATGTTAGTCTGTATTACTAAAGCTATTATCGCAATAGAAATAATGTTACTAACAATACAGCAGGCAATTTAAGTGTGAAAATAAAGTATCGAGTAATTATTCTGAATATTTGGCAAGGAATTTATTGTAAGACAAACAAATATCTTTTTAAAAGGTCAATTAATACCTGTAAATAACGAATGATAGTTTTCAAAGATTGCCAATTACCTTACACTTAAAGATAAAAAGAGCCTTTTAAATTATACATGTAAATTGTATAATGATGAGTGTTTTCAAGTTTACTTCGTAGATGACAAAATGATTCTTACCACAACACAATAACATTATATGAAAATATTTTAATATATATTTTTTTTTATTCAATATTATTGATACAAAAGTCAAGTATCAAATAACATTGATTTGCCGCATTTACTGTATACAAGCGTTTAGTAACAGAGCATGACAGGATGCAGAAAAAATATAAAAATTTACGTACACAACAATAATGTTGAATACAGGCAACATTAATGGAAACTATTATCTCTTCAGTTTTGTAGTTAGTTTATCAAAGTTATACAATTTAAAGAATGGGTTAATGAAAAACAAAAAAAAAGGAATTGCAACATAATGAATGGCCATATATACACTACGGCGTTCGGGGCCGGTGAAGACAGGAGCAACCAAAAATAACTAGAATGCATCCAATACCATAAGTAAGACCTCGACTGCTTTAATTATTGCAAGTTTTGATTGAAAGTATCATACAAAAAGATAAACGAAGGCATAATAGTAATTTTTTGCAGTGTGCCAATTTTTATTGACAGGATCAAACTTTATAAAGGAAAAGTCTATTCTATAGTCTATAAGTTACTTATAACAGGCAGGAAGCCAGACTTCGAAGAAGTCTTCGAAGTCTTACAAGGTGAGTTTTTTGCTTTCATCCATTAATGACATTAACAATATTCCTCACAGCAAAGTGTGAAAATAAAAGTCGAGGTCTCACATAACTGCTGATAATGGCAACTATTGCCCGGCATCTAATAATGTACGCGGAAATATCCATCGATTTAAAATATTTTGTCTTTCTCATTACTAACGTATCCAAATGTGGTATTTCGCACGCGTTTTGCTAAGTCGTATGCTAAATATTGACGTATTTTTTTAGATCATCTATTAAGCGAAATTTATCAAAATCCTCATGTCGTGTAATAAATTTACGGGGGGAGGGAGGGGGGGAGTCATACATCACAAACTCTGCAACGAATACACGTGAGCCCCTTACTTTTGCAATCTAGTAGACGGTATTAATAAAACGATACTTCTGTTTTTTTTATCATTGTCAGTATGACGTGCAATACAGTGTTACCAACTTAGGGGTTTTTTTTCCCAAAATTATCAGGAAAATAAGTAGTCGGGTTGTTTTAGGAGCAAACGATCTTTACATGTAATTTTTGTGGATTTTAAATGGTACCCCAATCTTGCCTTAAAACAATTGAAATAACCTACATTAACTAGTTTTTGGGCCATTTTAATCCACAACCCCACTAGCCCCGGCTGAACGAACCGTATGTAAAATCTAACATCCAATAGATATTCCCACGTTTTTAAGATAAAAACACCGGGACTTGGACATTGCACCTGTCGTTCGTGCCGGCCCCATTCCAGGCTGGACGGTAACGACTCCTCGATGTAGAACTCAGAGTTCTCGAACTCGTGCCTCGGACTGTCCCCCTCCACAATGGGCGGTAATGTTCGCACCTCGGTCACTGTCGATACTGCCGCAGTATCGGGCGCGCAAGTTGTCGATGTGTCGATTTGATTCCGCTTAAGCGACGGCTGTTGACTGAGTTTCTCGAAACCGCCTGTTTCGGCCTCCGATTCTGGGTCCCTACAATGGTGTTTTGTGTGTCAATAAAAAATATCGGGTGCACTTAATAAATTACTAGCTATGCCTCGCGGTGTTACCCGCGGTTTATTAGGGCTATTTTCCCATACCAAATTTTATTAAAATCGCTCTAGCCGTTTAGACATGAAGAAGTAACAAATATACACACTCACAAACTTTCGCCTTTATAATATTAGTGTGATGATGATGCTACTTTCTCTGTGACAGCGAAAGATAAAAAACACGTCACTTTGCAATCATTAAATTTAAATGACGTGTCGGCTGTCGTTATTATACAATTATTATCATCGGAAAAAAGGGGACAGTTACAACTTTAATTTAAACAGAACGGTTAAGTATGTTACGTGTGTACGGCATTCAAAGCATCAAAATATTAATGGACGTAGTATTTAAAAATTTTAAATAACAAAAACAGCGAACTAATAAATTGACAATTTATCATCTTCGTATATTTAAAAAACAAATCATCTTGAGTTTCTTTAGCAATATCTATAGAATAAAAATTACTTAGAATTCACAAAGTGGGTTAGTGCAAATTGTATTTATTATCTTTTACTACTTACTTGTCTAAGTCCGCTTGTACGTAAGCCTCTCGCTCAGCATGTTCGGAAGCATTTAACCTGGAGTATTAATTTGGTTATTATAAACAGGAACTTTATTAAGCACTGCATAAATTTCTAAATTATTCTAGAAAATTCACTGATTTTTAAATAAAAAGAAACATTCAAGTCATGTCTAAGTCTTATTAGGGTTTTTTTATACGCGACGCAACATCGGTCCTTAAAACAGCGATACAAACCAAAAACCCATTCACTACACAAAAAGGTTTACCGACTGCGCTGCCACGAAATGTGCATCATTTTAAGTAGCAAGTTTAGTTCTAATTTGTATCGCTATCCCAGTGGGCACTGCAACGCGTCTCGGTACCAACTGGCCCTAATTGACTTCACTCAATAAGCCCATAGATCCAATCAAGAAGGAAGGCAGTCAACCTTCAGTGCCATATGACAAAGTGGAAGTGCGTAGTGAAGCTTGGAAAACTTTAAAAATAGATGATCCTGATCACATAGAATTTACCCCTAATTTAGGTGATAATCCTATCTGTTTTTAATTGATATCTAGATCACAAGATAATTTAAATATAAGCGGACCTGAATCTTCTAGAATTATATTACTACCAAGTCCAGTAGTTTTTACTCCATTTACGGAAAGAAACTAGTACCAGACCCCAGCCACTCGCGCGATTCAGCGTTATAAATGGTCCGAGGTCCGAGCGGCAGCGAGTCGCCACACCGAAGACGTTTCCCGCGTAAATAACTAGTGGCCCGCCCTCGCTTCGCTTCGGTGTAGAGCTGTAGTGTAGGTTAACTATAGTTTTTGTTCTCAGGCTTGTATTATACAAAATGAATTTCTTTAAATAATTATAATCCTTCTATGAAAATTTATGTAACTGATAGTGGAAATATAGTTGCGTACTTTAGGACCCGTTGTACCGAATGCACTATTTTTTGGTTGAACGCGCAAACCTCAGGTACTAATGGTCCGATTTGAAAAAAAACTTTTTGTGTTGGACAGCGCATTTATTGAGGAAGGCTTAAGGCTATTTAACATCACGGTTTTTTGAAAACACGACGCTAGTGAAACTTAAAATCATTAATAAATTGAATATGTAATGCGACATGCTAAAGATGGACGAAAAATTTTGTATCTATGTAATAAAAGTTTCACTTTAATATGCGCCGGATTATCGTATCATTGCTGACAACAGACTAACCTTTGCCTAAAGAATTTCACAATAGATTCCATATCATACGTAGGCACATCGCTAGCCAGTTGCGGGAAAGCGTTGGATATGAACTCTACGTCTTCTTCGGTTAGTTTCGGCAATCGCGCGTCGAATACTGGCGGCGATTGCGTCGCGAAAGCCGGCGGCAACTCCGTCATGCCCGGGAACAGACTCTTTAGGAAGTGACCTTCAAACTGCGTATTAAACTCCTGCCGTCGAAACACTTCTTCGTCGTGGATTTTCAGTAACTTCGCTGCTAAGTCGGTGGCCCACTAGAAATAACAAAAAATGTTTGTGAATTTTAATTTGTCCTACATAGGTTTCGTGAGAGAAATAATCAATTGCAATATCCTAGCATCTATTTTATTATCAGCGAAAATATTGTTCAATAGTCATGATTTCATTAGGAATAATTTGGTGTAGTTAATTTAACGATGGTCAAATATTCCAAACCAAATTCTAATAAATTGGCTCAATGTATCACCAAAACAAACAAACAAGCACGACTATTTGATTGTTAATTGAATCGAATGCTAACGAAGAACTTAAATAAAATTTTGTGATGGTACAGTCGCCATCAGATATATCTGAGCATACAAGATGACCAAATACATCTGAACAGTTAAAATGTCAATAAGTTCTATACACTACAAGTGACCATTAATATCTGATCATTCATTACTTCAATAATATCTGAGCAGATGCCTGTCAATAATATCTGAACATACAACTTTTCAAAAATATCTGAACAATTTTAATAGGACCTCTTAATTATTTATTTATAATAAGATGACGCTGGCAGTTAAACACTTTCCAGTTTTTATTCTTATCACCTCTGTCATGTGTCATGCACAAATAAATTCAAGCAGCTTGCTTACGTATTAGTTCATACCATAAATTAACTATAATTAATATGAGTTCGTACCGTATTGATGCGGAAATGAAACATAAAATAATACAACTAAAAAATGATGGTTTATCCGTAAAAGATATCGCCGATGAGCTAGGGATAGCCGTAAGTATCACGGAGAAAAATGCTAAAAATCAATTGCCCACAAAACATGAAACTTTATTCACAAAGTATAAAATTGTATTTATTTCAGAGAAATACTGTATATTTATGGCTAGAAAGATGGCAGCAAGGAGAAACATTAAATAATCATGTTTCATTTGGTCGCCCGCGTATTACTACAAATAACCAAGACATAGCTATTATAGATAAAGCCAAAAATGACAGATTTATAAACACTACACAATTTTCAAGCACATTCGAAATATCCACTAGCACCATTAGAAGACGATTAAAAGAAGGAGGTTTAAAAAATAGAGTACCGGCAAAAAAACCAACTCTCACGCCAAGGCACAAAATGCAGCGGCTACAATTTGCAGCTAATTATTTAAATTTTAATTTTCAAAACGTTATTTTCATGGACGAAAAGGTTCTCTGCTCATCAGATAATGGGCGATTAAGTTTGTGGCGACCCGAAAACACATGTTACTTAGAACAAAATGTGCTGCCTAATCGCCGGAGTGGACGTATTTCAATTGGATTTTGGGGATGGATGTGCAAAGATGGTCCTGGTGAGCTTGTGGAAATAAGTGGACGAATGAATGCAATGAATTATAAGGAACTTCTGGAAGATACTTTTCTTCCTACAGCTCAAGTTTTTTATCCAGAACAACAAATGACATTCCTTCAAGACAACAGCTCAGTACATAATGCTCGTACAGTACAGACATGGATTAATGAACAGAGAGAACTAACTTTAATCAAACTACCACCAAAAAGTCCAGACCTCAATCCCATCGAAAACCTTTGGGGTAAAATGGTGCAAGAGTGGGATGGGAATCAATGTCGAACAACAGAAGCCTTAAGGCGACATGCAAATGATGTTTGGGAATCGTTCAGAGGTCGAGGTTTTTGTGAGAAGGTAGTTGGTTCCATGAGGAAACGTTTACAAGACGTATTAAATGCAGAAGGAGGTTACACAAAATACTAATGTTTCATGAGAAGTATATAATTGGTCAGCCTTTAAATAATTTGGTCGGCACAAAAAGATTTTGTAAGCAATTTAAAAAATCAGGCAGCAATCCTTGTTCGGCAAATAATTATATAATGGTCAAAAATTTAATATGAGAGTATACAAGATGGCTCATTTAAATGGGTCAGTATGGGAAAGTTTGAACTATAATATATACGAAGATCTGTTCTTAGGAACTATGTCATCGATTTTAATAAAAATTAAAACTGCATTCATACATTTAAGAAAAACCCTGTGGTCAGCTGGGGAATCGAACCCGGTCGTTTTGAAAAAAAAAACTAACACTATTTCCTATTTCTATTTATTAGTAAGATAAGTTACCTATACGTGTTAAATTTTGTATTAAAAAAACGGTGGTCACTTAGAACCTCTACTGAAATAATTTAAATTATGTGACAAAAATGCATTTTACGCATTTGAGACATCACGTTTAATAGAAACATTTACTGCTTCAGACCTACATAATCGATATTTAAATAGAAATAGTGTAAGTTTTTTTTTTCAAAACGACCGGATTTGATTCCCGTGCTGATCACAGGGTTTTTCTTAAATGTATGAATGCAGTTTTTATTTTTATTAAAATCTTGTTCCCAAGAACAGATCTTCATATATATTATAGTTTCAGACTTTCCCATCCTGACCCATTTCAATAAGCCAACCTGTATAATGAGAGTGGAGGGTTACCCGGGGAGAGGAAACCGAAGAAAAAAAGATGGATAGATTGTGTGAATGAGGACATGGCCAGTAAGGGAGTGAGTGTTGATATTGCGAGTGATAGAGGAGAATGGAAGCGGAAGACATGTTGCGTCGACCACATATAGAATTGGGAAAAGGGCATGCAAATGATGATGGTCAAAAATGAAATCATAAAAAGGCAGCTTACAATAACATGGATCTGCAAGATTTCATAATTCGTGTCTGTACTGTAGATTGGTTAGCAGGAGAAAACATGTCTATAAGCAGTATATTTGAATAGTATGCATATTTAAAAACCAGTCAAGTGCGAATCGGACTCGCGCACGAAGGGTTCCGTACCATTATCTAAATAAATATTTTTATATTGAATTAAATGTAAATTGCGGTAATTGCTTGATCTCGTTCAAATCAACTTTTGCTAGAAGTTTGCATGGTAATGTACAGACACGAGCTTTCATCTGGGCCCCACCTTTGAATATCGTGTAGCAATCTGCTGCAAGCTGTATAAAGCTAATATTTTAATGCAACGTCAATGTCATAATGTTTACCATTGACAACTTTACGTTACTAGGGGCAACCATGCAATTACGTCATCTGAAGCGACAGCAAAAGATCATTTCCGATGTTATGTTATGTTCCGTTTCCGAATTATACTTTGTAAAAATGTCACATTAAACTGTTTTTTCAATGACACTGACACGAAATAGTATTTTATAAAGAGGTTATCATTTCAAGGGTCGATTCATTATGTCATTATGTCATCAAAACACTATCAAACTAAAATTTCGACCTTATTGCATTATGAATTCTAACAACATTTAGTGGAAATGGGTCCCATATTTAATTTATAGACCTATCAATTTTATAGACCTATCCATACCCCACACGTAAAGATTTGATAAAAAAAAAATCTACGTCCATTCGTTTTTTTTTCTATTTTTGTATGAATATCGTTTTTTTGCCATTTGGCTACGGAACCCTAAAAATGGTGAGCAAAATAACTAATTGGTCTGCGTTTTTGTTGAAAATTCGACAATATACGTTACGGCCGTCTACGTCTGTTAGAAATTCCCGTCTAAACGGGCATTGATAATATTGGGAAATTATTAAGCTAATAATAATACGCTAATTTCAAGAACCTTACTAATTGCCTGATAACTTTTTGATTTGATCTCATGTATAATTATAACAATAAAACATTTTGTTACTATTTAATTTTAAACTCATTGTATCAGAAGTTGCTTTTTTTTATTTCGATCTCGATTATAATTTTATTATAATAATAAATACTTAAGCTTGAGCATCTACTGAGGTAGTGTACCAAGTTAATTCGTTTACATTTTTGATTATTTAACTCAATAAAAATTTATAAGAATTAAATTTGTTTTTTATTAATTTTCACTTTTATAAATAATACATACCCAAACCAAACAAACACATCCACTCAGACAGTAAATAAAATTTTTGTAAGGATGGCGCCCAGTTTGAGCATGACAAGTACAGAATTCCATTTTCCACTGCAATGGAAATAGTGGGACAAATGTTTCCTCCAAATTATTACTTATTTCTATTGCGGTTAAAAAACGCAGTTGTCTTATTTTTAACCCGGCGTTCGCACAGTTGGGTCTATTTGACCCGAGCAGTTTTCAAATGAGCGTGTTTCTTAAAATGTTTGTGCGACTTTGCCAAACTTCTCAGTAGCTGGAGCTAATGGTCCCCCCCTCCACGTGGGATTTGCCAATCAGTCGTGTTGCGGCCGCAGCGAGTGATAGACACGGCCAAACACGAAAAAGGTAAATATGACCCAACCATACTATTCGTGTCGTAATTTTGCGCCGTTTAAAAAAATGTTTTATTGTTGTTTTATATTGTTTATTTTGTTATTTTTGGCAAATATGTCTGAAATAAATGCGTACATATTACATAACGCCAATTTCTAAAGAAACTTAAGCCTTATACTGGTTCGTGAGCATTTGCGCAATCGTAAAGATGTCATTCAGTTGCTAAGACTTATACGCAAAAGAATAAGAGAGTTTTTAGGAGTAGGTACCTGATGAGGAGCCACCTGTGAAGATACTTTATGTAAGAAAGAGATGCCAAGACTGTTCTGCCAAAAAAGATAGAAAACTAATAATTTTCGGAGCTATGCAAATACATCTGCAGTGACCATGCAATGTTGTACTGCCGAGATTGCGCAGATGATACTATGACTGACGTATGAGACTGATACAAATAGTATAATATTATTAGTTTACTAAAGATTTGATTAACATGTAACAAATTAGTTTATTTATTTATTTATTTTTATTTATTTACTCTTTATTGTTATTTACAACAAATGGCGGACTTAATGCCACATGGCATTCTCTACCAGTCAACCATCGGGCTAAGCAGAGACAATTATGCGGTTAAGTAAATAAAAGCAAAAGGTGAAAGGAAAAAAAAAATTGATAAAACTACATGATACTTAATATAAAATTATAATACATAACATCTATAAATATACTTACATAACTACATATATATGCATACATATTTATGTATACGATAAATACCTAAATATATACAATAATAAATACCTCTATACTTACTTAACAATACTATAATAAAACAAAATACAAATAATAATAAAATATAATAAATATAATATTAATATTAGGCGGATTGACCAGAGTTTGATTATAATATACTTAGAAATTGAAATTGTTATGACTTCTTAGCGAAATGCCGACGTACGAGGACCTTGAAAGCAGGTTTACTGGGTGCTTTTCTCACACTCTCCGGAAGATCGTTCCAGAGACGAATAGCTTGGAGACAAAATGAGTTTGATACGAAGCTGGAGCAGTGGGAGGGGATGGACAAAAGAAGATTTTCAGATGAACGAAGAGGACGAGAGTGTGTGGAACTTAAAAACTGAAATTTGGACTTCAGGTAAGACGGAGCATTAGGGTCAAAAAGAATTGAGAACAGAGATGTGAGAATTCTTAAATCACGACGGTCTGAAAGAGGCGGCCAATTGAGTTCACGGCGAAATGAAGTAATATGATCATATTTCCGTAGACTGAATATGAATCGAATGCAGCTGTTAAGAGACCGCTCCAATTTACCAAGAAGATCTTTATTTAGGTCAGGATAACACACATCAGCATAATCTATGGATGGTAGGACAAGAGCCTGAATTAAAGAGATTTTTGTGTGAACAGGGAGAAAATTTTTATATCTATATAGGGCACGGAGCATATTTGTGACCCGCCGACATGTCTCGTTAATGTGAGTGGACCAGCCAAAGGTACTTTCAATGTACAAACCAAGATTCTTAACACTTGTAGAAAAAGGAATTTGCATGCCATTATAGACAATTGGACTTACAGCGCCAATATCAACCTTACATATTTGGCGAGATCCACCAATAATAATAGCCTGGCACTTAGTCGGGTTGACGACAACACCAAAGCGCTCAGACCACTTGCAGAGCATATCAAGATCCTCATTGAGGAGAGATATAGTAGAGTCAATCTCATCAGAACTGCAACGGCGGTACAACTGCAAGTCGTCGGCGTACAAATGAAACGAACAGCGAAGAAAAGTGGATATGAAATTGATAAAAACGGAAAAAAGAAGTGGCGATAGGATACCGCCCTGAGGAACGCCAGCCGCTAAGCTGCACCAATGGGACTGCGATTTGTCAACACGAACCGCTTGATGGCGGTCGTGCAGGTATGAGGAAAACCATTTTAAGGTGGATGGAGATACACTAAGGTGTGCCAGAAAGGCAAGGAGAATATCATGGTCGACAGTGTTAAAAGCATTGGTAAAATCAATCAGCACGAGCACTGTCAACTTGCCAAGCTCCATACCATCTCTGACATCCTCAGTGACTTTAAGAAGAGCAGTAGACGTACTGTGTCCTGGGCGAAAACCAGATTGATATTGAGAGAGTAATGAGTTGTCTAGAATAAATTTAGAAAGCTGTTTTTGTGCCACTGCTTCCAGGACTTTAGAGAGGAACGGCAAAATAGAAATGGGTCTAAAGTGGCTCAATACCTTAGGGTTATTAGTTTTTGGGAGAGGAATTATAAAGGCTTTTCTCCACAAGGAAGGGAACGAACCATTCTCGAAGAAAAAATTTATGATATGTGTTAAAATTGGGATTATGTAATCCTGAATATTTAGAAGCATAGTGCGACTGATGCCGTCGCAGCCGACAGCGTTAGAACTTAAGGAACGAAAAATTTCTTTAACATGGTCAGTTGACACTAAGGAGAAGGAGAAAGGCTCGATATCACGAGACGGAATAGATTTTAATTCAGAAATCGTGTTAGATTTGGTGTTAAAGTCTAGAGGTGAAATTGAAGAGAAATGAGAGTTAAGTTCGTTAAGTGAAAAAGAGCAAGAAGAAAAACCAGCAGAGGCTTGGGACTTTCCGAGACCAACACTTTTTAATAATTTCCAGGCCCCGGCTGATGTGGAGTTAGCCAGGCTGTCGAAAAAGTAGCGACGCTTTGCAGATCTCACCATCCGGTTGCATAAATTTCTGGCAGATTTAAACCGATTCCAGTTATCTTCCGATCTTTCCTTTTTAAACTTGCGGAAGGCCCGATCACGCCTAGTCATGGCCATACGAACTCCCTTGGATATCCAAGGAGCAGGGGGACGTTTCAGCTTTACACGACGCAAGGGGGCATGGATATTATAGAGCTCAAGAATCTGGGAATTAAATGAGTTAACTTTAACCTCAATAGAATCGGAATTCAAAACTGGTGACCAATCTATGTCAGCAGCATCAGATCTTAGAGCATCAGTGTTGAGTTTGGCAAAATTGCGCATGAGCAGTACCTTTGGCTTCGGTTTGGTCATATTCAGTTTATATGAAGCAAATATGAGATCATGGTGAGAGAAACCAGGAGCAGAGAACTGACCAAACTTTGTGAAGTTATTTGCAGAGGAAGTGACAATAAGGTCAAGCCATGTGTCTGAAGATTGAGCATTATGATGAGTGGGATTAAGAGGGAGCACAGAAAAGCTGAGGGATTTGAAAAGATTTTGGAGTTTAACGGCGGAGACGGAATTTTTAACGAGGTCGGTGTTAAAATCACCCATGATGATGTGATGGGAGTAATCAGTGCTAAGTGGTGTCAGAGCAGCTTCCAAAGAATCATGGCAGTCCAAAGACGGTGGGCAATAGACCACGCCTAAAAGAACCTTTTCTCGACTGACAGTGATTTCAAGAAAAATATATTCCGTTTATGTTATATAAAAAAAAATGTTTTGTTAAAATTTTATTACTTTAAGACAGAGGTTGTCCATTTTGTTAATATTTTGTGACACTTTTATGAAAATGACATTAAAAAGATAGTTTCGTATCATGTTGTGTTTTTTTCTACTCAAAACCTATAACGATAATCGTTTTATACAGATAGTACAACCACATACCAAATTTATTTTAACTTTTGTAATTATGGCGTTTTCTTATACGAGTCCAACCCAACTGTCGTTGATGCATATTTTGACTGTGCTGACGCCGGGTTAAATAAATTTCTAAGGAGATATTGAGAATTTAATCTATAGAATAAAATAAAAACATAACTTCTCGTTAATTATAAAAAATAAATAGAGAAAAAATTATGCATCTTCCATTTCTACTACTCGTGGTGACCTACACGAATGATTTTCTGATAGATTTTTATTCCCTTCTCATCGTATTTATTCCTTATATTTAGCCTTTGTTTTTAGTTCATCCTTTCAATCACGTAGTAACAAAATATGTAAGCCCAGTGCATGACCTGCGTAGATACATAATCATTGACGTGTTCAGATATTATTGAAAAGTTGTATGTTCAGATATTATTGACAGGCATCTGCTCAGATATTATTGAAGTAATGAATGTTCAGATATTTATGGTCACTTGTAGCGTATAGAACTTAATGACATTTTAACTGTTCAGATGTATTTGGTCACCTTGTATGCTCAGATATATCTGATGGCGACTGTACAACAAAGTTTTCTGCCACTTGGTCATACAATCACTTTATCTCTTTTTAAAGACGGATCAATTCCATGCAGGTACTGCTCAGTTCATTCTCTATGCTATGTCTATGGTATAACCTCCATAATGTGTGCCTTTGTGAAGGTCCTGCGCCTGATTACTTCGTAAACGGTGCGTACGAAGACTAGGGCTCCAAACGATTGAAACATTGGCAGATCTATTGATAATAAGTAAATAAGGTTGAATCTCGCACAAACTCACCATAATGTCAGCCTGTGAGAACATCCTGTGCCTGACTACTTCGTGCACTGCGCGTACGAAGACTGAGGCTCCAAACGATTGAAACATTGGCAGATCTATTGATATAATAAGTAAAAAAGGTTGTATCTCGCACAAACTCACCATAATGTGGGCCTGTGAGAACGTCCTGCGTCTGACTACTTCGTGCACGGCGCGTACTAAGACTGGGGCTCCAAACGATTGAAACATTGGCAGATCTATTGATAATAAGTAAATAAGGTTGAATCTCGCACAAACTCACCATAATGTGGGCCTGTGAGAACGTCCTGCGTCTGACTACTTCGTGCACGGCACGTACGAAGACTGAAGCTCCAAACGATTTAAACATTGGCCAGATCTATTGCTAATAAGTAAATAAGGTTGAATCTCGCACAAACTCACCATAATGTGGGCCTGTGAGAACGTCCTGCGTCTGACTACTTCGTGAGGCTCGAAACGATTGAAACATTGGCAGATCCATTTGTTCATAAATAGCTTCTTCTAGCGACCGGACGTAACGACCCGCGAACAAAAAGCGTACTTCATCTGTCAGCAATCTCTCACCTTAGTCGCAGCTATCACCGGAAGGGACGAGATGGCGCTGTATATCAATATAAAAGCGGACAGACGGACAGCGGAGCACTCTCTCTTGGCCAGGAGGAAGTCCTCAACTTCAACTCTTCTAATATTAGTAATAAATATAAGATAATAAATAAGGTTGAATCTCGCACAAACTCACCATAATGTGGGCCTGTGAGAACGTCCTGCGTCTGACTACTTCGTGAACGGCGCGTACAAAGACTGCGGGCGCGCGATGTAACTGCGCCACGATACCGAAGTACCGCTCCAAACGATTGAAGCATTGGAAGGAAAGCATTGCGTGCGCATCTTGTACCGACATCGAGTTCTCTAGCTTTAAAACGAACCTGTTTACGGCGAAAATAATGTTTAGAATCGTTCAAAACATGTAAGATTTAACAAACTATTCTCATTGTTATAGTAAAAGCATATAAGACGGATATTTTTGAGTAGGGTCCAGAGAAATAAATACTATTAAAATAGAGTAATGCTATTAATTTTAAATAAAAGCTTGTCTATTGACTACTAATCTAACGGTGTCGCAAGCATCTGTCAAGAGAATACAACGAACGCTTGTATTACCCAATAAAAATAAATGGTGTTACAGTCGCCTGTGATAATCGATTGCTATCAGGCGAAAAGTGCGTTTTTAGCGACATTTTACCCGTCTTCCAAAAACGGAAGAGGTTTTCACCTACTGAGAAGTTATTTTCTATTAAAAATCAAAGAATAAATAAAAGCACTCACTCTAATCTCGCCTTGAGCACTTGGCAGAGCTCGTCCTTAGAGTTGGAGATCCGTCGACGCCTGTCTACCAGAACCTGGTGCCCTTTGAGCAGCTTCTCTAGTTGACACCAGTGGGACTGCACCAGGGTGGGCAAAACGGACGGATCGCACGCAGAGTTCAGGCGGTCTCGGTACTAGAACGAAAAAATGGAACTTATGAAATAAAGGACGAAGTGTTAAGCACTTCGCGAGCGATTCAAAAAAATTTGTAAAGAAGACGTCACAGTTATTTAATAAAACTGAAGATAGATGGGAGACTAAAGATGTTTTATATTATTTTTGCCGTTGAGTAATCCTTAAAATTACAGGCACTTTGTTCGCAAGGTTGGTCTTTCGCTTTATATGTCTGCCGCGACTTTCTTCCAACAATAACATATTACGTTAATTGGCTCAGATGATTTGTTAATTTATATAAGTACACGATGGGACTGACATGTCTGTAAAGATAAAAGTCCTTTAAATAAAGAGAGAAATAAAAAAGGCTGGTCTTGTTACCGGGGTCAGTCTTGTGATTTCTTACTCGTTTAAAAAGTGTTTTATGAAATTATAAATGTGTGTGAAAACTAAAAAAAAATCATATAGTACCCATATACTGTTACTTTGTAGTTTTGCTAATATTGTGAAAAATCTTACGTACAATAGCAAGGCCATTTGGTGAAAAAAACTCATATATACAAGCATAAGGGTTTGTTTTCACGAAGTCGTCGTTGCGTCGCAATCTCCATAATAGTGCGGCCGCAGTATTAGGACTAAACAACAACATTTTAGAGCAAGTGATTCATTATCAATATTAGTGACCACTCACCATTATGCCGCTTGAACTAAAAGGCTTGATCAAGCCAAAATCCTTACTCCTTCCAAAATTTCTGCCCAGACATAGTTAGTTTGGCTTGATCAGGCCTGTTTGATCAAGCGGCAGATCCCCCTATTAGGGGCCATTAATAGTCTGACGATGATATATATACCTGCATCAACGAAGCGGCCTGGTCGTGTTCATCTTGCTCCAGCTTCTTGACTTCGCTGAGTAACAGGTCGAGACCAAACAGGCGGGATTCGTTGCCAGTGATCTATAATAATCTGTGATCTTTGGCCTACCTTATTGAGTATTCATAGTCTGACGATAATATTACCTGTATCAACGATGCGGCCTGATCGTGTTGATCGCGCTCCAGCTTTTTGACTTCGCTAAGCAACTGATCGAGGCCGAACAGGCGGGATTCGATGCCCGTGATCTGCTTCAAGCCGTGGTCGTTGGCGTACCTCAGGTTGTGGCACAATTGGTCTTCGTGCTCTTTTAGAGGCTCCACGTCGATCTAATTACGGAAAAGCTAAGTTAAAACTTAATTTGTCAACAGTTTCTCCTTTACATTTTTCTACAGAGCCGGATTAGGCTATGTTATTGTCACAATCAATAGTAATAATAATTTTGATTGACCAAAAATAATCATTACAATATAATTTCCTATCAAACTTAGCACTAGTCTTTGTAAGAAGTCTTTTTATTGTGATATTTTGTAAATATTATTTATGAGCAGCACTGGACTTATATAGACGATTGACAATATTAGTTTTAGGTTTCATCATCACCAGCCTATTAAAGTCCTCACTGCTGGAGAACAGGCATTTCCTATGAATGGAATAGGGAGATTGGGCCATGACCCACCACGCGGGCCCAGTGCAGATTGGCGGGTGCTAACGACTGTAGATGCAGGCCGGACTAACGGCTTAACGTACCTTCCGAAACACGGAGAAACTCGAGATAGAAGATTTTTGGTCACCCATCTAATGTTCTAATCTAAATGTTCGGTACATTGCGAAAGTTGCTTAACTTCAACGATCGCAGCCGAACGCGCTAGGCACCTGCGCCATCGAGCTCCTCGAGTTTTAGGTTTAGATAATAATAATTCCGAATTAGGTCTATTGTCAATTCGACAGCAAGTTTACAGACGTGTATCGGGAAAAACTCATTTTGAATAAATTGACAATAAATTATTTTTTGTGAAATATTAAAATCACTACCGAAATTCACACGAATGCCAACAATTGGTGCATTATTTTCACACTACCATTTTATGCTTTGCGATCATCACCCCTGCAGCTCGTAATCCCGGTTTTAAAGGATATTGAGATATGTTACTAATATTAATATGTAAGTAGCTAATCTGGTAGAATAATATATCTATGTTAAGCGACATTTTAATTTTATCAGAAAACATAATTCCATTGTGCCTGAAACACTTGTATTGTAGTTGTATTACCGTTTGTCAAAAAACCATTTGATAACGTTTGCTGCCTTTTTTGATAATGGGAATAATAAGGTACCTGCTAAATCAGGACACTCAATGAAACAAACCTAAATACAGTAACCTGATCTTATAATACACCAAACTAAAAGTATTTACTAAGAACAAAAGTTGACATCGGAATCCTATTTTAACGAATATTAATAATAACAAAATCAATCACATTAAACAGTATACAACGTGCAACAGAAATAAGGCATATCTTGAAAGTAGCTTGGTTGTAATTGGCTTCTGAATCGACTTCCATTAACAAAAGTGTATAATAATCTTAATAAAACCGAAAAAAATATTGGCATAAGTTTAATCATCCTAAACAAAAGACTATGAGACCAAACACAAGATAATTAGAGATATTTTTGAATGCAACTGTACATTAAATAATAAATTTTTATTCTTACATTAAAAAAAACTGAAATTTATTCATTTGCTTATTTGTAACAAACTACTTTTATAGTGTGCGTTATTTCTTTTACACGTTGCAGGTGAATTACCCACGAAGGAATAGAGGGCATGATCATCTATACTTAAAATAAAATGGTAGGAAACTCAAAACTGTACATTGATTTTTTTTTTCAAAGAATACTTGGGGTGTGTGTGATCTACAATCGATACCGAAGCCAAAAATATAGTTTTTAGATTTTTTGTCTGTTTGTCTGTATGTATGTTTATATCCGGGATAAACTCAAAAAGTACTCCATGGATTTACTTCAAATTTGGCACGAATATTTTTAAGAAATCCATCACCTACCGGGAACGAGCAGTTAAGCTTTATTTCTAACTAACTCCACGCGTACGAAGTCGCGGGCGGCCGCTAGTATTATTATATTTGTACTTACCAACGCCAGTCCCTTCTGGCAGTAATCCAGGATATCTTGCAAGGAAGCTTTGTTCCCCTGCGCCAGTATCCAATGTAACAGCGTGGGCTCTTCCTTGCTTTCGTACGAATGCGCTCTGAAGGTGACGCCTTCGTCCGACTCTTCGATCTGCTGATCCGATTCTGACGAATGAACCGCGTCTTTCTGCTCAAATACTGTGAATAAAATGTTTACACTAAATATAGTGTTAAAAAATATAGTGTCCTTGAATACAAGGAATAAAAAAGAAAACTTGCTTTTTATTTCATTTTTTTGGCAAAGATAGGTTACACACTTCAATTAATTATTAAAGTTTATAAGCAATTCGTGACTCGATGTGTTAAGACTAATTCACAGATGAGATTTAAAATGAGACCTTTTAGCGTGACGTGAGTGTTGTTTAAAGCGATTCAAAATTTATGACGGTTGTGAATTTAGCAACTATGCGCAGGTTTTAAGTGCAGTGGCATCTCGCGCGTACTAACATTTCGTTTACTGCGCTGCTACTTGTGCTTGTTTCACAGCCGCCATTAAATTTAATCAAAATTGTTTTGACAGTTACGGGATAAGTTATAATGAAGTTTGAACAGAGGTGTCATTAAAGATACAGTAAGGGCGCTTTCAAATTATGCGTTTCCTGACGGCCTGCTGCGGTGCCGGTACCGCGAACGCTCGACAACAGGACTGTTGCCGCACCGCGCGTTTTGTGCGAAAAAAAAGGATCATCCGGACGCTGTACGACAAACGCACCGCTTCGGCACCGCAGCAGGCCGTCAAGAAAAGCATAAATTGAAAGCGCCCTTAGGCTCAACTCACACTGCCCCAGAGTCGAAGCGACGTGATGCGTCATGTTTTCACCTCTTCCGCCTGTAGCAAATTCATCACTATTTTCCCACAACTAAGGCGAAAAACATGACGCGTCGCGTCGCTTCAACTCTGCGCCTCTGTGAGTTGTGCCTTACACAAAATTACAACATATATCTTGCGAAAATTGAATTTACTAAATGCAAACTCACCATCTTCCTCGGATAATTTAAGTGCCTCCACGCCGAAGTCCTGGGAACTTTTGTTCTCGGAACTGTGTGTAACTCCATAGTGGTGCCCCTCGAAATCTGTCTCTTCGAAGACATCGAACGCCGAGAATCTGTGCGCCTCCGCGTTCAGTTGTAACGCGGGCAAGATCGGTATCTTTCCTAACGCTTCCAACACTTCGTTGAGCCTGAAATGTAAGAATAATATTGAACCGTACCAATTCTGGGCAAATACCCTCCAGTACTGACGATTTGGATACGACCAAAGTCGTGGCCGTGTATTGATTTATTTTTCTTTGCTGCCCTAGACGTTCGGCCCTACATAGAAGGCATGATATGATAGGATTATTTCACAAAGTGCAAGGTTGCCACCCTTATGTTATTCCGCCGCGCTCGAGTAAATGCAAAAATCCCCGCTCGGTTGCCTGGCGACATTCCGAAACTTTGCTGTGTTTGTAAATCTTTCAAAAGAAATACAAATATTTGCTTTAGAAATTGCACCATCAGTTTCCCTTCCGATGTTTATTCATTCAGAGGCCATCGACCCAAAACTATGAATGGTCTAATCCAATCCTCGTGGTGCCCAAACATTCTCAATGCCAAATAACATGCATGATAATATTTCAGACGTCTGGCTGATAAGAAATAAACAAATAACCGGTACTTATCATCATTCTTATTTCGTTTAGTCTATTTATAAAGCAGGATCAATACTTAGCAGAACCTATGAAACTTTGAATTTACAAAGGTGACTCTGACAGCTGTAGCTTACATCAGCCTGGTACAAATATCTCTTCTAAATTTAAATCAGTCATAAGTGTTTACAACACAGAATAATATGTTATACATTAAATAAAAAAAATGAAGTGACATGGATAACATTTATAATCAAATGATGGTCTTTTGTTCATATGCTGTAAACCAAGGCAAATAACACCATCAATAAAATTGGAAAGTCCAAAAACTCATTCCAGAAAACCATGAAATTAACGAAACAGTTGCAATATTTAACTAATACCACACCGATACAAACAAGTGCTAAACCACTGTTATTTGTTATTGGTTAACGTGCATTTTACTATAGACATGTAACCGAGTTGAGACTAACTTTGGGTGTAAGGTCATGACTTAAATTCCGTATTATTTTTAACCGACAATTTACTTCGAATGCGGTGCTGCTAATCGACCTTACCCACCAAATAAAGTTATGAAGGGATATGGATAGTGAATACTGAAATTAATTTAATCGATGCAATGATGGTATAGGTATCGATTACTTAAAGAAAAACTAGATGCATGACCAAAATAATATTCATGAGAACTAAACGTATATATGCGGAAGGTACGATGAACGCGGTAGTTTGCGTTGATTTCATTTGTTCCCTTTATTATCTTAATGCTAAATATCAATCAATGTTATTCAAAGCGAGGAATAAAAACTGGGGTCCTTTTTTAAAATTTGCGTTCGTTAATGAAATAGGGTAGATCCTTCAATGTTAAATTACTATTTAATACAAAGTTTGTGTAAAATCTAAAACTGTTTTTTTCTAATCCCCTTATAATTTTTATTAGGATATTTAATATGTTGGTAAGACTTGCGTATACTTCACAGCAGTCTCTGACTTTAAATTGCACTACAATGCCGCGTCTTTTTAGTTTTTCTGATGAATAAAGAATTCAAACTAAGACATATTTTTATTTATTTCAAAAGCGCTCTTCATAGTGTTAAAAGGTTAAGCAATAAATACCTATATTGTCATAAATAGACCCATTTCAAGAACGACGCCTTCTTAAGCTAGGTTTTCTATTTACATTAATTATTTAATATTTATTAAGATATTTCGAAACAATTATAAACATGTATAATAATGTATTTTAAAGTTAAATGTTAATTAAATAACAATTAATTATCTAATTTGGAATAACAACATAAACTGCATTTGACGGGTCCAGAGGAACTGGATTGTATTGCATTTTAATATGCCATTCCTGTAAGTAGGTAAATGTGTCAAATTTTTTTTGGGTCATCAGGTCAGCTCAGCATTAATCATAAGATTTTGTTTTCAAGGCTTAAGAATCAATTAGCATGCATTGTGAGATAATAATATATATTTCCCTCTATCTCAGTCTCACAAGACTTTTTAGAAAAAGAAACATGTAGACGTTCTCCAAATATTTTTCAGTAATTTGTCCTAAACAAAAAAACAGATTAAGTACCTACTAAATTAAAAAAAAATGTGGTATAATTTACAGTAAAATACTTACGCATTCAACTTCTCGTGATACTCTTCCTTTTTTAGTCGGTGTTTTCTAAATGATTCTTTGAAATTTCTTGATCGTTCGCAAAATTCAATATAAATATCGTCTAAATTGGCCACCACCGCCGCCCATCCCTGCAATAAAAAGTAAGTTGTAACTTTCATATCGAGATAAATCGAGATAATGGATAATTATCCATATCTATTATAATAGAAGGAAAATAACAATAACAGCTTCTCTTTATTAGCGCATTGATCTACATAAGAAAGATTTGAGAATATGTGAATCTACTTAGGTTACTTAATAAAAACTACGACGGAACCGTTTTTGGCATATCGCACCAATGCTAACACATGGAATCAAGAATCGGCAAAAGTCAGTCGCGGAACGCGTGATATCGCTCGCAGACAATTAATCAAATGCCCTCAATGCGGCCCGGTGACACTGTTTCACTGGGTGTTTGCTCGACCTCTTCTATTGTAAACATTACGAATTGGGAGACGAAACGATTTTCTGTAATAATCTAGGTCATTATCAGCTTAGCGGACAATTTTTCTTCAACAGGTGAATGGAGGTATCTTTATACCACCTTTTTGATGTGTTCTTTCCTCTCGCTTTCCTGCAATTTGTGGGAGTGATTTCGTGAAATGGGAAGTCGCGAAAGCGCGGGGTATATCATTTGATTTTAGAACATAATGTTCAAATGACTTATTCCTTTTGTAGTAGGTTTTATTTCTTTTTTTACTAATATAAGGTGAGGTTTCAAATGATACACATCATACGCGACTACTGTAAGGCTCGCTCGTTTTTTTTCTGTGGGAAAACATACGACCCGCCCCTGGGTGAGAAACGAGGTTGTGTGGGAATCCTCCTCCCCCCAAATCCCGCTCACCCGCTCAGTCAGAACTTGGGATGAGTGGGGCTACTACTAAAAACCCAACAGTGCTTTTTCTGCCTACTGGAACGGGTTGCGTGGGATCCGGAGACTCCACGTTACCTCCAGCAGGTGTTCCTCCTCCTTGCGATCATGGGGGTGAGGTATCTACTACCTACATTACACATTGAATTAAAATGTTTCGGAAATCCACACACGTGCCTGCTCTACAACTACAAATCATAACAAGTATAAAAACCATATTGTTGTGAAACTGTAGCACGTCTAGGGAGTACTTACGTCTCAAAGACCACTTATACTTCGCAACTAACATTGATTGCAGAAAATAATTCTTTTTTTATTTAAAAAAGGTGGAAAAGCGCAGTTGCCTACCCTGACCCTATCGTGTACAATACAGTACAACAAGAAAGCAGTAAAATAATTAAATAAAACATCCCCTACCTGTACCTTACTCACCGGCATAAAAAAACAAATCTCCTTATTTTACTGTAAGGTTGAGGCTACTTCCCTAGACAGGAACTCTAATACGAGTGGAAAATCTACTATGCTCTATCTCTCCAAGCGCTGGCTTTAAAAGACTGCAACTTTTTAATTCTAGAATTTAGAGTCCTTTAAAACAGGCGTGAAGAATCATTTCTGTAGGCCGGCAAGGTGAGGATGGTTGGTGAGGCAGTTTATAACTGGTGCAACAGCTATCTTTGCATCTGGACTTTACCACCACTGAAAATCAAGTTTTTTTTTTACAGTAAATAGGCTTACGCTTGACGGCTACGCGACTGATGAAGAGCGACGTAGCAGCCTAAGGTGGGACGCGCTTGCCTAGAAGAAACCGATTCACTCGCGACTTGAAGAGCCCCAGATTATAGGTGACTGGAAACAGAGAATCCGGCAAAGAGTTCCACAACCTAGCTGTTCTGACTATATAGGTGGAAGCAAACCATTTAGTACGAGTTTGTGGGACCTCTACGATATATATGTAGCGTTTTGCCGTCTCTCTGGTGGTTCTGTGGTCAAAAGGTGAGGGTGGAATTAAGTTATGTAACTCCAAAGCACACTCTCCGAAATGTAACCGGTAAAAAACCGATAAAGAGGCAACTTTTCGCCTGTGTTCAAGACTTTGGAGTCTAGTCTCGAATAATTTGTCGTCACCGATGAGCTTCTTTGCACGCCTCTCAATGCACTCCAGAGACTCTAGCTGATATTTTGCAGAACCGTCCCAAAGGTGCGAACAGTACTCCATGCAAGAGCGAACTTGTGCTTGGTACAAGGTGAGCAGCTGTTCCGGAGTAAAGTACTTCCGCACCCTTGCGAGGACGCCAAGCTTTTTTGCAGCCAATTGAGCTCTGGACTCAATGTAGGTACCGAAGTTGAGAGTTGAGGTGAGAGTTATTCCTAGAAGCTCGAGCTGTTCGGTTACCGGCACGGTTACACCTCGGAAAGAAGGGGCCAGTTGAAACGCTCTCTTTTTAGCGGAGAACAGACACGCCTGAGTCTTAGAAGCATTAAACTTGACCAGATTGGCATCGCCCGAATCGGAGACTGCCTGAAGGGACAAGTTTAAGCGGTTGACCATGGCTTCTCGGAGTGATTGAACTTCGGCCGCACTGTTAACTTGGGGGGAAATTTGCCTACCTAGCTATAAAAAAAATCCTCACCTGATGCTGTAAATGCTGTTCATGTACCAACTGCTCACAGCTCCTGGACACTTCGTGCGCTAGTTCACTGAACTGTTGCGCGAGGTTTGTACAGTGTAAGACTGTCTGGACGGTTGCCGGCATGGAGCAGCACTTCTCGACGGCCGCCTTCAGTTCGGCGAGCGACTTGCCGTCGTAGGCGGTGCGCGCGTCACTTCTGAACTCCGGCTCCAGTTCAGGAATTGGGCTCAAGTCACTGCATACTACAAAGTTCAAGGACATTAATTAGTATTAACCAGAGGTCCCCTGTGGTTTCACCATGTTAATTTGAAGGAAATATAGGGAGTCAAACTTAAAATATGGACACATGCTGTCGCAGGATTTTTTATACAACTTCTCTATGTTTACCGATAAAGTTTTAAACTCATGATATAGGAATAAGAGTTTAACTGAAATTATGAACTTTTCAGTATCTTCGCCGCGCCTCTCCTGATGTGCGCGGCGCCTTATGCTATTGCAATTGTCAGCATTACCTTTAATAAAACTATATTATAGATATTGATTTACATCTCGAGTGAAGGCATAAGACATCTAAAAGCATGAAGAAATTTGAAATAACAGATTTTTGGTCCCTGCCAGCACTTGTAAAACTTACTTAACCTCCACATTGTTAAATTTGGTTTGCACTAGGGCACCTTTGAGGACAATTTGTAGCGAAGGCAAGCCAAACAACTGGCACCGTAAAGCTTTATGACTTTTAATAAATGTATCTTAAATTAAAACACTACAGCACATTAAAAGAGATATGTCAAACTTAAATCAAGTATCATGTAAATATCAACATAGAATTTGTTTATTTTAATCATGTTTATGACAGCGGTTCATTGCTTTATAAAATAAGCCAGACGTCATTGATTTGATAAATTAACTGTCAAGACATTTATATGTGCTCTTCAGCTCACTCACGTTAAATATAGAGTATAAATTTCAACATGTCTCGCAAAACAACATATACTTGTTCAAAATTTAACTGTATTTTCATGTGCGTAGGTTTCATATCTTTATTGCAGAGATACTACATTTTTTTTTATGAATTCATTATTTTAACTATAGAAAAGAAAAAATACCTTATTATTGAGTACCATAATATAATTGTGGACTATTTTGTTATTAATTAATTTCACTCACTGGATTGCTTCAAGTGGCTTTCTCGTATGGAAGGCTTACTGAACATGTAAATAGGGTTAGTGTCTGTTCCTGCACTATAAGATGACACCATGTGATCAGACTGTAAAACTTCTCCTCCGCTAACAAGAAGAACCAAAGAATTGGTTGGTATCTTTATTTTTCTCTCTATTGCAGCTTTTAAACTTGCCACACTGAAATAAAATAAATTAAAAAAAAACATAAGAAAATCAATTTGATATAAAATTAATTAAAGAGTCCTTATAAAAAAAAATAGAAATTTTAGAGTGAAACAGTCAAAAAATATTATTTAGTATCTACTAGAGGTCCCCTGTGGTTTCACCTGCCTTAATTTGAGGGAAATAGCTATAGGGAGTCAAACTTAAAAGATGGACACATGCTGTCACAGAATGTTTTATTGTCAAAAAATATTGTTTATATATTTTTAACAATAACTTACCTTTGCAGCGTGAGATTCATATCATATGTGGTCATTTGACCGGCATCTACATGAAAAACGTACAACATGGTGCTTTGTCAGTTTATAGTAAACTGCAAATGAATAAATCTCTGCTGTCCCTAACTATCCCTTAAATCTACAATTAAGATCCATGAGGGCTGCAAAAAAGATATTCATAATTTACTAATAATTAGTTACTTTTATAAACTATCTTAAAGATACATAATTTCTTTTGACTTGTCTAAATTGAGTCATTATTATCATCAGCCTATTTATGTCCCGACTGCTGGGGCACAGGCTTTCCTTATGGATTGAATAGTGAAATTAGGCCATGGCCCACCACACTGGGCCAGTGCAGATATGGTAGATGCAAATTACTGCAGATGCAGCCGGGAACAACAGCTTAACATACCTTCAGAAGCACGGAAGAGCTAGAGGTTACTACCTCGACATTTTTAATTTTGGTCACCCATCCAACAACCAACCACTGTAAAAGTTGCATAACTTCAATGATCGCAGCCAAATTCTCTAACCGCCTGCGTCATCAAGCTCCATTTAAATTAAAGAAGATGACCAAATTTATAACAACATCATCTGCATAGAATAATTATTCACCATTACCAATTTCAATCCTGTTTTTCTCTCCTATTTTTTTCTTTGTTCTATCTTTTGGTATTAATTGCTTTATACCAAAATTCATCAAAATCAATTCAATAATTTAAGTGTCAGATTGTAACAAAGCAAAGACAAGTAACTTTTGAATGTATAACAAAGTATGGATTATAGTTAATCTGTAGTTGTTGTTTTTACTACAATTAATTATTTATTAAGCAAGATGTACATAGTGCAGCCTACATACATACTGTAAACCTATTTACATTTAATGTTAACTATGTATAAAGTAAGAAATGTAAATAAAGGGACAAAAACACATCTTACTAAGATAACTGTATCAAATAGTTGAAATATAAATTTACAACAAAATAACTGCAGTTTTACTGGCTTAATTATTTGCAATTTTAATTAAAATAATTTACCTTAATTACTTATATAATGATTTATTGATGAAAACGCTAATATCTGTTTTTTACACTAATAAAACAGAGTACATACCAAAGAACACAAAGTCAGCAAAATAAACAATCGGAAAATTTTCTAAGTTTCGTACCGTACGACACTGTAAATTAATATCTAGAGTTTAAAATATAAATAATGAATCTTTTTAATCTATAGTTTTACCACGCTCAATCACCACAGTGGAACGTGTTGTTTTTTGCGTTTGAAGTCGTTTCAATAACAAAGATTTAGCACTTACAAAAACATTCGCTGAAATCACACTCTAAACCTGCAAACCATATCAAATAGGTATATTATATAAATAACACAGTTTATTGTTTCATTCAGCTGAAGTTTTCTATACAACAAAGGCAAAATAACACTATGAATTAGCGCACTGATTTTGTTCCAAGCCCTTGAGGTCATAACACCACCATTGCTCGATAATCAACTCAGCTGACAGCTATGGGGATACCAGCATCGAAATGTCGTTTAGTAATAGTTTATTTTATTTATACGTTTCCTATTTAACTAAACATTATATGATAAAACAAGAAATTTATCTATAATAATGACTGCTTATTTAAAGAACATTATTATTATGAAAAACAAAAAAATTGACAAACTACACCTAGTGCACACTGAGAGACTGAAAATGTTGCAATTGGTTGCAACAGATTGTTTTTTAAAAGACGGGAAGAATCGTCGAAAAGATCAATACTGGGCATGATTGTTAATCAAAATTTTGTCCCATGGGTGCCATGGGGCGGCCATCCAAATACGTGAGCACAAATCTGTAATTTTCAATAAAATAGCGTAACATGATATAAAGCAAGAGACCACAAATAGAACACTAGTAGCCAATAATCATTAATAAAGCAGCTTACAAAATAGTGCTCAAATAAACTTTATAGTCGTTCGTTACATGAAAGTTGAAACCACAACTTGAAAAAATCTTCTCTATTTTAATATTTAAGTTGCCCGCTCTGTATTTTGAATTTCTCACTTAGTAATTCAATCGCAAGCTTAATATTTGTGTGTAAAGTGGAAAAGGGGTCGTTCAAGTATATTACGTAAGCACTATAGGGGGGCAGGGGGGTCTTTGCTTTAGTTATTTTGAATGACATAGGGAGGTAGGGAGTCGAGATAGTGATTACGTCAGCATCATGGATTCGGGTGTCAAGGACTGAAGACTGACAAAAATTCGAAAGAAGTTTGTTTTGTTCGTAATAGTACCTTACTCTATGTTGAATACTGGTGTCAATTCTGACAACAGTGTATCCTTGTCATTCTCTATACAGAATGAAAAGGAGAGATTGATGTTAAATTAAGTTATAAGTTTAGAGAATCACGCCAGAATCGACACCATTGTGTCAATAAAGTTTCTTTAAATGAATAATAAGTGTATTAAAGTCCTCTATCCTAAGCCTATTTAAGTACTGCTGCTCATGAAGCTCATGAAAGCTCATGAATCAATAAAAAAAACAGAATACATTAAGGGAAAAAATGCAAGTAGGTATCAATGTTTACGTAAGCACGTTAGGGGGGGAGTAAGAGATTTGCTTACTTTTGCTGACAAGGGGGAGGAGGGGGTAAATAATTGTAATAAATCTGCTTACGTAATACTTGAACGGCCCCTAATGTACAGCCCTCATTTTTTAAGTTCCTTCTGGATTTTAATATTGATGAATGTTCGTCGTCAGTTTATTTATTTTTCGCTTACTCAAATTCATACCGCTCAAGTTAGTTAACAGTATCTCATTATTAGTTGCTAAGTTTTTTTTAGTCACTCGTTTTATTATTTCCTCTTTGTTTATTATATTATATTGAATTTTTGTTCAAACTACGCTATTATTTCCTGACACGAAAAACATATTTTTAATAGAAAAATGAATTAAAGCAAATTTAAATATTCCGATAATTCGCATTTTATTTTAGGCAATATGACTAATCAAAGCTGAGCTGATATTAGACCATAGGACCATTCATTCCTGGCTTTCCTGCGGTATTTATTATTCTGAACTATAAACTTCATATAAGCATCCCATGGGACCAGGATTTGAGTATGTTATTAGAATGTTCATTTTGATGTTTACTGTGATCTTTTTTCTCCTTGGCGGGTGACAGGTAACTTATTTTGAAAAGTATAGTTCCCAACAAAGGGCAGATATAGGAGAGAAAGAGATGGCCGAAGATCCATATACTGCTGCAACAAGATCGTAGCTCTTGAATTCGTAAAAACGTAATTAACGTTTGAGTGGTTATGAATTTTCAGTCAGATACTAACATTATTCAGATTTATTTGACGACCTCCGTGGCCGAGTGGTTTATACGCCGGGTTTCATGGCGTCGCCGACTCGAGAGGTCCCGGGTTCGAATCCCGGTGGGGGCAGATGTTTGTGTGATGAATACGAGCATTTGTACTCCAGTCATGGATGTTTAATATGTATTTCATATAAATATACTTATATATGTACAATATATATATTCTATCCGTTACCCTAGTATCCCATAACACAAGCCTTTACAGTGCTTACTTTGGGGCTAGGCTAATTGGTGTGAGTGTTGGAAATATTTATTATTTATTTATTTATTTTATTTATTATTAATCTATTAAATTACACATTTCTTTCATACAATATGCAGTTAATGTTATTCAAAATATTTTAACGTTTTATGATTTTAAAATTGAAATGTATTGTGAACAATATATGAATCATTTTATCAGGTTATTTTATTTTTTGTAATAGATCCACACATAATATTTGATCTGCCTGCAACCGAATTATGTAAAGTTTTATTTTCCGCTATCTCTCTCCTTCCCAATCATCAAATGAAATCAAAATTGAGAAAGAGATTATGTTCCATTAGCTTTATAGGGGAAAGTGTAAGTAAAATTTCTACTGAAATATGTTTATTTTTAACATTATGGTAACATTTGAACATAGTTTTTTTTTTATTTCTTTCATGCGAAAGCAAAAAATACTTAGTCTTTAAGGAATTAAGAATAACAATTTTAAGTATGTAGAATTGAAGCTTATTAATTAGTATTTTGGAATTTTTTGACAAATTTAACGAGTCGCTTGTTCTAGAGATTGATTGGGAATTGGAATTTCAAACTTATGAGCTGACTCCTGTACCCAGCTGACTTCTTATTTTCTCAAATAATGCCTACAATAGCTACAGTGTTTGTAGTGGGTATAATCAGATACAATAATTTGCAATGTATGCACTGAATACAATACTATAAATTAACAACGTGAGATCTGCTTCGCTAACTCTTTCTACGACATCACCTTCTCGCAAAAGGGGGCTACCGCCGCCGTCCAGGAACAGTCGTCGCTGGCAATCATGGGCGAAATAACGCTGGCAGCGAGAGGTTTCTTCCTACTGCTGTTTAATCATAGACCCGCTGTGCCGAGACCATTTTGTACCCTTTATTCGCAATCACCAGAGGCAAAAGGGGCATGTAAGTATTAGTTCTCTGTCCTCGACAGCGCCAAACTTGAGGTACGGTACGAACATAGATATAGTATGGTTCGAAGGGTCATCTGTCGCCCTATCCTGTACTGGTAATTACCGAAACAACCGTGCCCGGTAGACACCTGAATATAGGGATACTTACCATAGGACTAAAAGGAGGCCATGGCCGGGGGCGGCAAACTGCGAGGGGCGGCTGCAAGAGCTGTGAATGGCGGCAAGGCGTTCGTTATTGAACTTTATTATGATTTGATTTATTAATTCCAGGGGGGGATGCAATTCGTAAATGGCCCGGGGCGCCATAATGGTGTCGCAGCCTATTTGCCTCCCTGATATTGAGAGCCACTCTGTCCGCATCAGTCCCTTAACGGAGATCCCTATTAGATCTGCTTTTAACGATACAACCAGACAAACACAAGGTGGTGGGCGATGTCCCATTAGGGTCGTCATCATTGTGTGATTCATTCTAAAATCCCTGTTGCGTGTCCCATACGCTTACCAGCTAATGGTCCTCGCAGAGTCTGGCAATATAAGTCGGCGGATTGTGTATTCGTGAATTCTTTGCATCGTACGCGTGGAAGTGGTTAAGCTTTTCCTCAAACGACGCTGAAACATGTGCCAGTTGTGTAACTTATGAGAATGGTTTTTCTTTCCGTCATTCATTCCAAACCATAATACTTTGATTATTTACCCATAACATAACCCGCCCTTGAATCAATAAGGTCAGTGTAGACCATGCTGTGCGTAGGTACTAAACAGTCGGCGTATAATTCATGGCATTCGGCTTAAATGTGCAGGCTCTGAATTCAAAAGAGGAAAAGAGAAAAAATTCAAGCCGTTTTGAGGTACGACAAGAAGGCAAGAAAGAGCGAAAGGAGAAAGCGAGAATAGGCCAGTAGCTGAATGGTTTACCTTCCGGGAGCCGCTACCTGATTTCGCTATAACCCTCAGTGCAAAGGACAACACCGACCTACTAAATTAAACTTTTCGCTTCCAACTCGACTTTGAACAATGGGAAAGCTATATATACGCCTCCAATAATCACCCATTGTGGAAGTTCTTTGCCAGAAATTCACTTTACCCAGCGGGTGGTACAGCGAGAACTTATAAGTAGTATGGGCACGACGGCATCCCTTCAGTGGTACTCAAAATATACGCCCCCGAGCTTACGCCTTCTATCGCCTTTCCTACAAACAAAACTCCGTTCCAACTTCATGGAAGGTACTCACGTCCACCCTATTCCTAAAAATGGTGATCAATCTGAGCCTTTAAATTACAGGTAAAAAGAGAGCGTCTTTTGAGGTGCCTTGAGGAGCTTAAGCTAATTTCTTAACGACCAAAAAATGGTTTCAGTTACGGTCGTTGCTGGAGTTCTTCTCATTTATCTCAATCACAGTTTGGCTGAAATCGTCGGTTTCAGCCCTTACAGGGATGACTAAGGCGTTTGACAGGGTCTAGCATGCAATGCTTTTATCGACGTTGTCGTCTTACGGGCTATCTGAGGGGTTTTGCAAGAGGATATACAGCTTATTCGATCGCAGGAGCATCAGAGTCGTTACTGACGGCTGCTGCTCCGAACTCATGACAATAAAAGCTGGTCGACAAGGTTCGGTGCTCTCCCCGACGCTGTTAAACCTGCATATCAAAGACATGCTGTCTGTTCCTGGCACATTGTTATGCGGATGACAGTACGCGTGACGCGCGGTACACCGGTCAACCAAACATCCCTAGGGCTATAGTTTTGAAATGACGGACTAAGCTTGTTTCTGAAGTGGAGAGTTTTCTTGACCGAGTTTGAATGGACAAGTCTAAATCTCGTCTTGTTCAACCCTAGCAAAACACAAGTTTGCTGAATCACTGCAAATAAGGATTTGTTTGTTGTTATTCTACAATTCCACTACATGTTTCCGCTAGCGTTGGGATACCAGGTGTTGATATCTTGAGTATTGTCCAGTATAGGAACCATTTAGTGTGCAAGGGCAAACTGGTCTCTAAAAA